CTGCTTTCTGTTCACTAGTTCCAAAAATCTACATCATCAAATTTAAGTTCCTCAGCATGATACATAAGATCTTTTGTAATCTAGGCTCTTGCTTTTCTTTTCGCTGTATCATCTTCATTTTTCCTCCAACCCCGTTCCTGTTCTCTCTACTCTCCATGCACATGTAATGTGAAGCTTACTGATTTCTTAAAAATACTATGTTGGGACATCTCTCCATGCTTTTATGTGCTTCCTCCTCTGCCTAGAATATTTTCCGCTTATCTAATTGGTCGACTACTAGTCATCCTTCAAGACCATGTTGGGTGTTGCTTCTTTTGGGAAGACTTTCTTAGTTTCTTTTCTCCCTAACCCCCTCACCATACCTCTACACCCTTCTCTGCCAGCCATGTCCAGTGGAGTGATGCTGTCCAATATGGTAACTCCTAGGCACATGTGGCTGGTTAAATATAAATTAATTAAAATTAATAAAGTTAAAAAAATCAGTTTCTCATTTGCACCAGCGTATTTCAGATGCTCTTAAGTTATATGTATTTAGGGACTACTGTATTGCATAGTACAGATAAAGAATTTTTCTATCACAGAAAGTTCTATTAGACAGCTCCCCACCTTTCTCTGCGTCACCTCTTGCTTTGATACTTCCATTGTTGCATTTATCATACTATTTATTTATTTACATGTCTATTTCCCTATTAGACTGTGAAAAGTTGGAGGCCAGAGATATCCTCTTCATCTCTGTATATTTGGTTTTAAGTTCAAGGTTTAGCATATTATAGCTGTTCAACAAAAGTCTCAGTTGAATTGATTCAGTGAAAAGGAGAGTGGCCTCTACTTGAAGGCTTGTAATGATGAAGCAGTCACATGACAGCATGTTACATATATATGTATTTCCTAAATATATATGTATTTAGGAAAACAAGTTTAAACCTATTTAAACTTACTGAAAGAGTGATGCAATGAACATCCATATACGCTTACCCTGGAGTCAATAGTAGCTAACATTTTGCCACATTTCTCTCTCTCTTTCTCTCTCTCTGTGAGGGTGTGCATGTGTGTGTGTGTGTATATATATATATAAAATTCTCTTCTGATCCTAAATACTTCAGATATATCTCCTAAGAATAAGGATATACTCCACATAACTTTGATAGCATTCACATGTCAGAAAATTAGCATTAAAATTAAAATTTCTCCAATTGTCCCAAAAATACCTTCTGTAGCTATGTCTTTGTTCCAGAATCCAGTCAAGGTTCATGAACTGCATTTTGATATGTCACTTTAGTCTCTTTTAATCTAGAAAATATCCCTGTCTTTCTTGATTGTTTGTTTTACATGACGTAGACTTTTTTGGGGAGGAGGAAGATTGTCACTGAGCTAACATCTGTGCCAGTCTTCCTCTATTTTGTATGTGGGATGCCACCACAGCATAGCTTGATGAGTGGTGCGTAGGTCCACACCTGGGATCCAAACCCTGGCCCACCAGAGTGGAATGCGTGAACTTAACCACTACTCCACTGGGCTGGCCCTGACATAGACTTATTTGAGGAGTTCAGGACAATGATCTCATAGAATGTGCCATATTCTGGACTGGTGTGATCACTTCCTCAGGATTAAATGTAGGTTAAATCTTGGTATGAAGCCTACATGAATAGTTATGTGTACATTTATTGCATTATATTAGAAGGCGCATAATTTCAAACTATCCCGTTAGTGGTAATTCTAAGTTTGATATTTTAGGCTGGTGACCACTATATGAGTTATTCCTTTTCTAATTAAAAATAATCCATGGGGTCAGATCATGTGAATATCATGTTCCCCAACAGCCTTTTATCATTTCCGTTACATATATTTCCTCACATATTTCTGTAAAGAAGAGCTTTCTTCCCTGTACCCCCTTTTCCACCTTCCTCCTCCTTCCCTCTCCCTCAGCTTTTTTGGGTATCATTATGGACTCGTCAATTTTCAAAAATTCGCTATTCAATGTGTTATAATAAATTACCATAATTATTGTTTTTGGCACTTAAATTATCCCATGTTTGGCTAGTGGGAACCCCTTTAAACTGGCTGTGTCCTTTTATATAACTTCATTTGCTTTTGAACACTTTCTTGCTGTGTGAGACAGGGTATTCTAGATTTTCCTTGTGCTTTCTCTGCCCTAGACTTGGGCTCAGCTAACTTACAAGGAGTCCCTGTTCCTTTTAGTGGAGAATGGTATTTAGAAACCAAGATCTGGTTGCAGGACATGATCATTGCTACTGAAGTGTTACTGCTTCTAGGTTCTTTCAGTGGACAGAGCTAGGAAATATATATTTATATATATTATATATATATATATAGAGAGAGAGAGAGAGAGAGAGTGTGTGTGTGTGTGTGTGTGTGAGAGAGAGTGTGTGAGGAAGATTGGCCCTGAGCTGACATCTATTGCCGATCTTCCTCTTTTGTTTTGCTTGAGGAAGATTGTTGCTGAGCTAACATCTGTGCCAGTCTTCCTCTATTTTATGTGGGATGCCAACACAGCCTGGCTTGATGAGTGGTGCTAGGTCCCTGCCCGGTGTCCAAACCTGCGCACCCCAGGCAGCTGAAGCAGAGTGCATGAACTTAACCACTACACCACCTGGCTGGCCCCAGGAAATATATTTTTTGAAAAGTCATCAGCTTATATGGATAGCTTCAATTCACATTCCATTGTCACAGATATCTCCCTTACCATCTACATTTTATATTTGTGTCTTTTTTTTTTTTGAGGAAGATTAGCCTTGAGCTAACATCCGCCACCAGTCCTCCTGTTTTTGCTGAAGGAGATTGGCCCTGAGCTAACATATGTGCCCATCTTCCTCTATTTTATATGTGAGACACCTGTCACAGCATGGCTTGATAAGCAGTTCGTAGGTCTGCGCCTGGGATCTGAACTGGCGAACCGTGGGCCCCCAAAGCAGAGCATGCGAACTTAACCACTACACCACTGGGCTGGCCCCTCCATTTTATATTTATATGTCTTTTCTCCCATAGTGAAAACATTGCTTTCCAACAATACCAATATATTTACTCATTTACTCTATCCTTCAATATCTCTGAGTTGGTATTACAACACTAGTGTTACACTACTAACAAGTCTACTAAGTAAACTTCAGAATTTCTTTGCAATTTTTTCTTTTTGTCCTTAGAGTGTATCTCACTAAAGATGTATACTCAGAATATTGTGCTTGAAAGTTACTTGAATTCTTTCTTTTTGATATACAGTTAGGATTGCATGTTTCTGTTTTATTCAGTTTGAAGGTTTGCTTTTTCATTCTTTTTGAAGTCCCTTCTACTCCATTCCCACCCGTCCTCTATAGGATCAGAGTGAGACTTTTAATATAGGATTGACTTCTAAGCCATGTAAATGTTTTCCGCAAAATTAAACTAAAAAGGATGATCAGTAAATAATGACTCTCTCTATCTAATAATGTTCTTTGCCTTGTATCTAATATTAATGTCTCTATGCCAGCTTTCTTTGGCTTGGCTTTCAGTTTGCCTGATTGTCTTTTTCTATCCCTTTAACTTCACCCTGCGTGTGATTATGTTTTAGGTGATATCTTATGTATACAATTTGAAAATCTGATTTTTATCTAGGCAACTTTATGATTACTTATATATTTGAATTGTTTTCTGCTATCTTATTTTTTACCTTCTTTTCCATCCCCTTCTCTTTTTTTTGCCTTTTATTGTGTTGATTGAGTTATTTTTACTTCATTTTTTTATTTCTAATTATTTGGAAGTGACACATTCTGTATCTCTTCTTTTAATGGTCATTTTTGATGGTCATTGTTCTCATGCTATTAGTGGTGAGTATTCAGTCAAATAAACCCATACCTCTTTTTCATGTGACCTACCAAGATAGGTTTGTTGAATCCTGTACTTTCACATTAAAAATTTTTTAACTGAAGCACAGGAAACTACATGTTTATTTTTTTCAAATTTTATAATCTTAGCTTGAGAAGTAAGGGCCTCCGTCATGCTGTATGAAGAAAGGTTGACGGAAAATTGGACTCACCACCACCGTTTCTTCATAGCCTGCTGCCTACTATTCCTGCCGCTGCCCTTCCCCTCTCCCCTGGGATCTAAGCACTACAGAGGCCAGGAATATTATTTTGATTATTGCTCTATCCATTATGCCTAGAACAGTGTGTGTGCATTAGCTATCCCTCACTAGATATATTAGTTGAATGAATAAAGTGTGAATATTTAGTCTGGAGAAGAATGAATGGAGTGGTCGTGGGATGGAAGGCAGGAGACGTTATGGAACCTTCTAGTTTGAAGGACTTGCATGTTGAACAGTAATTCTGCTTGTTTGGTTTGGCCCTGGGGGTTGAAGTGAACACAAATACAGGAAAACAGAGAGCTATCTGTTACCAGGATTGTATGGATGGTTAGTAGGTGGCTTCATTATATTGTCAGGTCCCAGTTATTCCAGGAGAATTTTGTTGGCAGTAACCCAGAAGGGATTAAATAGTCCTTAATTGCTCTGAGATTCTATGCTCAGTAGATGGAATACATTGCCATCCTTAATTTACAGACAGATTTACGCACACGGGTAAGTTTTATTTTTCATCTTAGACTTGCCAGATTATCTTAACCCTACTAGTAAAGTGATCATTTAAAAGCACAACACCCTGAGTAATCATTCACTCTGTATGCCTCCCTAGTAATCCCAAATGTTCTAGTGTTTTCAGTTTGGTCAAATTAGAATGACAATAAGTGGGTAGATCAGTCATATGATTCACATATTTGTCTTTTCTATAGCAACACAAACAGTGAAAGGCATTATGCATATTTTCTCTGAATTTTGTTTCTGAGTTTTCTTTTTGTTTGATTATATAATTATCTTAGACAGTTTGATTTAGATATTTACCAGGAGGGATATACAAATTTGGACAAGGAAAACGTAGTTTCATTACTACTTGAAAACCTAAATTAGTGCCTTGAAGTCTGCTTATAATAAAAATCTCTTCTCTTTCTCATAGGGCTGCTGCTCAGAGTAAACTAGGTCACTACACAGATGCAATAAAGGATTGTGAAAAAGCAATAGCAATTGACTCAAAGTACAGCAAGGCCTATGGGAGAATGGGGTAAGTTCTGGGGGAATGTTCAAAGTGTACCAAGTCATATCAGATATGCTGTTCTTAAAGGCTTGATTTTGAATTTCCTGCTTAATATCTCAACCGCTATACTAATAAGAAGATAAATATGACATTGAGGGAGGAAATGACAGTAATTTCTGTGACTTGGGATTAGTTGAATAATGACTGGTTGATTGTTGGAGAAAATCACACAACCATACTGAGCAGACTCACTTTGTGTTCAAGGCTACAAATCTCAAATGAGCACTCAATATTTTGGCAGACAATCCACTGTACTTCCTTCCAAATTCACCTTACCACTCTCTGAGTTGACTGCTTCATCCCTGCTCTTCTCTCTTAAAATTTCCACCACATCCTCTATGGTGACTCTCAGCTGCTGAAATTGCCTTTCACTTAACTGAGAAAACAGATGCATTTAGAAGAAAAGTAACACACCCTCCTGCCTCCAGATCCACCAATCTACCTGCATTTGTAATCTGCACAGACTGCCTTTTTTCCTGTTGAAAAGGAAGGCTTCTCACTAAACAAATAGAAGAGAAACAAATTATAAATAAGGAGAAAACTAAGAAAACCAGCAGAGAAAACTACCTAACTGAATTGGTAGTCCGAAATACACGAGACGTGAAACAAAGGAAATGCAGGAGAACCGGAAAACGAGTGATAAAATGGCAGCATTAGGCTCTCATATATCAATAATCACTCTAAATGTAAATGGATTGAATTCTCCATTTGAAAGACACACAGTGGCAGGATGGATTGAAAAACAAGACCCAATAATATGCTGCCTCCAGGAAACACATCTCAGCCCCAAAGACAAACACAGACTCAGAGTGAAGGGATGGAAGATGATACTCCAAGCTAATGGCAAACAAAAGAAAGCAGGTGTTGCCATACTTATATCAGACAAAGGAGACTTCAAGATAAAACAGGTAAAGAGGGACAAAGAGAGGCAGTATATGATGATAAAAGGGACACTCCACCAAAAAGACATTACACTAATAAATATTTATGCATCCAACACAGGAGCACCAAAGTACATAAAGCAACTATTAACAAACCTAAAAGGAGATATTAACAACACCACAATAATAGTAGAGGACCTCAACACCCCACTTACACCAATGGATAGATCATCCAGACAGAAAGTCAACAAGGAAATTGTAGAATTAAATGAAAAACTAGACCAGATGAACTTAATAGATGTATATAGAAACAAAAACAGCAGGTTCCACATTCTTCTCAATTGCACATGGAACATTCTCAATAATAGACCATATGCTGGGAAATAAGGCAAGCCTCAGTAAATTTAAGAAGATTTAAATAATATCAAGCATCTTTTCTGACTATAATGCTATGAAACTAGAAATCAACTATAAGAAAAAAACCTGGAAAAGGGGCAAAGATGTGGAGATAAAACAATATGCTACTGAACAACCAATGGATTATTAAAGAAATTAAAGGAGAAATCACAAGTTATCTGGAGACAAATGAAAGTGAAAACACAGCATATCAACTCATTTGAGATGCAGCAAAAGCAATACTAAGAGGGAAATTCATTGCAATACAGGCTCACCTAACAAAGAAGAAAAATCTCAAATAAGCAATCTCAAACTACACCTAACACAATTAGAAAAAGAAGAACAAACAAAGCTGAAAGTTGGTAGCAGGAGGAAATAATAAAAATTAGAGCAGAAATAAATGAAATTGAAACAGAAAAGACAGTAGAAAGGATCACGGAAACAAAGAGCTGGTTCTTCAAGAAGATAAACAAAATTGACAAACCCTTAGCCAGGCTCACTAAGAAAAAAGGAGAGAAGGCTCAAATAAATAAAAGTAGAAATGAAAGAGGAGGAATTACAACAGATACCACAGAAATACAAAAGATTTAAGAAAATACTTTGAAAAACTACATGCCAACACATTGGATAACCTAGAAGATGTTCAACATCACTAATCATTAGGGAAATGCAAATCAAAACTACACTTAGATATCGTCTTACACCAGTTAGAATGGCTATAATCACCAAGACGAAAAATAACAAATGTTGGAGAGTTTGTGGAGAAAAGGGAGTACTCATACACTGCTGGTGGGAATGCCAACTGATGGAGCCACTATGGAAAACAGTATGGAGATTTCTCAAAAAATTAAAAATAGGAATACCATACAACCAGTTATCCCACTACTGGGTATTTATCCAAAGAACTTGAAATCAATAATTCAAGGAGACTTATGCACCCCTGTGTTCATGGCAGCATTATTAACAATAGCCAAGACATGGAAGCAACTCAAGTGCCCATTGACTTATGATTGGGTAAAGAAGGTATGGTGTATATATACAATGGGATGGTACTCAGCCATAAAAAATGACAAAATCGTCCCATTCACAACAACATGGATGGACCTAGAGGGTATTATGTTAAGTGAAATAAGCCAGATAGAGAAAGACAAACACTGTATGATTTCACTCATATGTGGAAGATAAATAAACACATGGACAAAGAGAACTATTTAGTGGTTACCAGGGGGAAGGGGTTGGGTGTGGGCACAAAGGGTGAAGGGGTGCATTTATATGGTGAATGACAAATAATAATGTACAACTGAAATTTCACAATGTTGTAAACTATCATAACCTCAATAAAAATAAATAAATAAATACAAATTTTAAAGAAAGGAAGGGTTCTTATGTAAGACTATTGTCTTCACTCATGCTTTAGATCTCATCCCTTTGTACCATCTCCAGGACTTTACACTTGTAATCATCTTTATCTCCTACACCACCAGTTTTCCTATTTCTCACAGTGATAATGAGTGCTTGTGAAAAGGTCATAAAAAATCATCTATTGGAACCATCCTTTTACCTAGCTGCGTCATTTCTCAGTTCCTTTTTCTCTGCAAAGCCCCTGATAGTTGTCTGTATTTGCTGTCTCATCTTCACCATCTCTCATTCTCTCTTCACTCACTCCAATAGGGCATTTGTCTGTATCACTCTACTGAGATCTCTATTCAAAGCCACCAGTTATTCTCACCGTACACCATCTTTTAGTATTTGGTGATTGACTTATTTTTTGAAATACTTCATTCTCTGGGCTTCTGTGACACCACACTTGCTGGTTTTCCTTCTACTTCACTGGATGCTCTTTCTCAGGCTCCCTTACTGGTTCTTCCTCCTCTGCCACCTCTTAATAATGGTGTGCTTCAGGGCTCTATCCTCTGCTGCTGCTGCTGTTTCTCTATCCTCTCTTCTGATTTCATCCTGTCCCGTGCTTTTAAAATCCATCTACAGTTGATACTCATTATTCATCGATTCTGTATTTGTGAATTTGCCTACTTGTTAAAATTTTTTTGTATCCCCCAAATCAATACTTACTCTACTTTTGTGGTCATTCACAGAGTGGTGAAAAATTTGAGTCACCCAACATGCAAGATCTCAGCTGAGGTTGGATAAGGCAATGCTCTGCCTTTTTATTTCAGCTCATGCTGTAAAAGAGTGTTCTTTTCACAGTATAATTAGTGGCATTTTTTTTTTTGTATTTTTGTGCCTTTGTTGTTGAGTTCCCTGTTTACAGTGGCCCCCAAACATATTCTGAAGTGTTATCTCCTGTTCCTAAGCCCAAGAAGGCTGTACATGTGTTAAAAAAATACATGTATTAGATAAGTTTTGTTCAGGCATGAGTTAATGCTGTTGGCTGTGGATTCAATGCTAATGAGTCAACAATATATATTAAATAAGGTTTCTTTGAACAGAAATATACATAAAACAAAGTTATGTATTGATCGGTTGATGAAAATGTGACCAGAGGCTCACAGGAACTTAACCTTATATTCCCCCTAGGAGCAGTTGTTTGGTATTTGCCAATTCAGTGTTTGCAGTAACTTTATAGAACATAGTTAGTGTAAAAAATGGAAATCAACTGTATATGTTGATGTATCTCTTAAGTAATATGTATGAACGCCATACTCATATATTCAACTATATTCCATCTCCACCTAGATGTTTAATAGGCATTTTAAACTTAACATGTCCCAAACAGAATTCTTGTTTCCTTCTTAAATCTTCCCTATCTCAGTAAATGGTACCATCATTCACCTACCCAGTGCTCAGGAGTCATCAAGTCAAAAAGTCAAAAGCCTAGGAGTCATCCTTCATTCTTAGTATACTTGACATATCTATCAGCAAGTCCTATCAATTCTAGTTTCCACATATATCTTGAATTCAAGCATTGATTGCTCTCTTGTTGATAATCCTAGTCCAAATTATCATCTCTCACCTAGGCTACTGCAGTAGCTTCCTCACTGGTTTCCCTGCCTCCACTCCATCCGCCTACTCATGTTGATCCTCTGCAGAGAAGCCAGAGTGAGCTTTCTAAAGCATTAATCAGAGCATGTCTCTTCATTGCAACCAGAACAAAATCCAGACTCCAAACCATGATCCTCTGTGATCTGGCACCTGATCACTCACTCCCTGACATCATCTGTTTCCACGTATTGTTTTCTGTGCTCCCTCCCCATCAGTCTTTGTCCTGTTCCTTAAGCATGTCAAGCTGGCATTATTCTCAGGGCTTTTCTGTTACTGCTGCTTCTATTTAGAATGCTTCTCCCCTGGTTTTCATGACTGCTTTCTTCTCATCATTCAGGTCTTTTCACCGTGGTCACCTTTGAACAACTTCCCCATTCATTCTCTTTAATATTACTCTTTTTTATTTGCATGTTCATTGCTTGTCTTCCCCAGGTAGAATGAAATTTTCTTAAACTCCAGAACCTTACCTTTTTCATTGTGGAATCTAAAATAGTGCTTGGTACACAAAAGGGTTTCAATAAATATTTATTGACTATTGATTAATTGAGGACTCAGACGAAGTATCTTTCATGGTTGACTGGTAGAAAACTAATTAGGTTCTGAGGATTCTTCTGTGGTTAGGCTCTTATTTTATGTCGATCAGAAGTCTGTGAGGTAGGTCGGCCAAGAAAGAATTGGAATAATTTGTTAAAAACAAACCTAGAACAAATAAGAAAACCTCAATATTATCTCTCCATGTATACCATTATTGTTTAGTTCTGAAGTAATTTTCCAATAAATAAATTCTAACTAGGTGGAGGAAAACATAAAAATTTAATAACTCTTTGACCTGTGCTTGGGATAATAATGTGTTATTTGAGTTGTAAAGGATGCTAATTTTATCTATTTAACAACTAATGTGTCTTGTTCAGGGGTAGTTAACTGACACCTCACAGCCTATTTTTATTTATTTTTAATGGCAAATTGATATTTATTGTGGCTTAATGTCTCTGCCAGAAAGAAGGAAGAAAGTGAGACATTATGAAGCACAAATCTAGTTGAGAGTCATTAAAATGGTTTTAGCATCATGGAGTTATATGACCACAGGATTATTAGCTCACATCTTTGTGGAGCATCATCATTCATAAAGCAAATTACTTCACATATTAGGCTTAAAAATGGAAGGGTAGGTAAGGTTCATTTCTAAGTATTAAGTTCATGATTCGTTTAGGACAGCCAAGTTGTCAGCAAGCAGAATGGAGAGAGTCCAGACTCATAGAATCTTGGAATTATAAGGAATGTTAGTGATACTCATGTGATTCATAGTACGATGAATAAATTAAGTGTAATTTAGATTCAAATTTAATACCAAGACAGACATTTGACTACATTTGTGATGTCCTGATCTCCTTTAATCATATATCTTATAATCTTATACTCTGTTCTTTTCAGGCTAGCTCTCACTGCCATGAATAAATTTGAAGAAGCAGTTACAAGTTATCAAAAGGCATTAGATCTTGACCCTGAAAATGACTCCTATAAGTCGAATCTGAAAATAGCAGAACAGAAGTTGAGAGAGGTATCTAGTCCCGTAAGTTATTAATGCCAAATGAGTGAAATATCTTCTGTCATTCACAATGGTAATCAAATTGTAGTGGTTAGAATAATTCTCAGATATAATTGTTTTACAGACAGGAACTGGATTGAGCTTTGACATGGCCAGCTTAATAAATAATCCAGCCTTCATTAGTATGGTGAGTATATTTCCTTTTCTGCTCTGCTGGTCCTGTTTTCCATAGAGCTATTTGGTTCCAAAACTTTTTGGAAACAAATAAGGGAGCTTTTGTGGTGGGGGTGGTAGTAGACTGGTGATAGAATGCTATGGCGGAGGTTTTTAACCTGCCTGTGTACGTCTTTGTGAGAAAGCCATGGATAGACTTCAGGAAGCTCATGAATTCCCTAAGATTATATATAACAATTTGTGTACATGTGGTTATGTGTGTTTTTATAAGGAGAGAACCATATTTTTCATCAGATTGGCAAAGGGGCCTACAAATCTACAAAAGGTGAAAAACCACTCTCTTACATGAAATTGGCCCTAGGAATTATCTAATAATTGAGGCCTGAGGACTTTGGCTATTGTGGTTCCCTGAGCTCTTCTCAGCATTGTCTGCTTCCTTTCTATCTTAAGAGTTTATATTAACTTTTAGAATAATTCTCATATATATGTACTCTATCCTTCAAACCAACAAGATCATTTATGGATCTTTTTGAAAACACACATGCGCTGGCTCAATATGTGGAAACTCTGACTTAGTGGGTCAGGAATGTTACCTGGGCATTTAAAGCTCCTTGAGTGAATGTATATTTCTGCCTGAGAACCATTCTACCATATGCTATGTCCTTGGAAGGCCATACCACTTCTTATTCATCTTTGTTTCCTTCAAAAAATGTGTCTTATCCACTAAATCTTCAGTTGAAATGCACAGATGGCTCATTCCCAGCGAGATAAAGAAGTTTTTCGAACAATTGGTAAATTTGTAGCAATTGGTAGTTTAAAAGTGGTAGTTGAAATCTTTGTAGATGGTAGTTAATTTTTGAATTACTAACCCAAAATGAGGTGTTGGGAAAGCCACCACTTGCTTTTATTACTAGAGGGATAATTGTTTGACTGACTTGCATATAATTCAGTCACTCTCCTCGAGTTTCAGTTAGGATTAAGCCAATCAAATTTAAGTTGGTCTTCCTACCTACATGCCAGCAAGTATAGGTCTCTTTGTCGCTTTTGTGACATTTTTGAACATTGTTACCCATTTTCAGGCTTCAGGTTATGCTACTGTAGCAGGATGTGAAAATGGATTTTAGTTTCAAATTCAGCTTAGCCCTCAAGGTGCTATGTTCTGAAGTGAGGTGTGAGACTACCATGTAGGAGTTGCAAAAGGTGGGAGTTAAAAACATATTGTGTGATCTCATCAAGATGGTGGTGTAGGCAGACTCTGAACTCACCTCCTCCCACAAACACAACCAGGTTACAACTATTCTTGGAAAAATTACCCTGGAGAGAAAACTGAAAACTGGATAAAAAGAACCCCCACAATAAGGGACAGTCCTGACTGAGGGCAGAAGAGGCAGAAATTCCTTCTGGAGAGAAAAAAGCCACCTTTACAAGCCACGGACCTTCACAGCCAGCCAGGCGGGAGCCACCCTAAGGTACGCAGCCCTTCCTGGAGAAGTGGGGACCTGAATGGGGGCCTGTTACTACTCTAAGCATCCTTCAGACTCAGCACAACTGAGACGAATGTCCTACTATTTGGCTTCACTGGCTATTAACTGCAATGGGGGATACTCCCAGAAAAGCTATCAGAGGAAAGCTGAAAAAACTCGGCTCTTAAAGGGCCCATGCACAAATTCACCCGTCTCAAAGAGCAACCTAAAATCATCAAAAAGACAGCTGCACAGTCCTTTGGTGAAAAGAGACTCACCTGGTAGGCTCTGGGTGCATCTTGGTAAGAGGTGACACCTCTCCAGAGACTGATACATTGGTGGTGGCCATTGGTGTGACCCAGTACAGGAATGCTGACACAGACCCTGGCAGACACCATTGAAATTCTTCCCCTGGCCTGATAGCCCAGGGATCTGCCACACCCACTAGAGCACAGATTTAATCCAGTTCAATCAGGGCAGGCAGCCTGCCCTAGGGACTAGCCCCACCCAACAGCAGCCCTCAGGTTACTTGATGGCCTGCCTAGACCTGGTTCCTTGATTCTGTACAGGCAGGCTAGTGGGTGCACCTCTGTGGGGCAGGGCCTATGTGAGGAGCAGGTGTACTGTGGGGGGGTTGGTGGAGAGATGGGGGCCTCTGCAGTGGGGTGACTAGGTATGCTCTGGGTGGTTGGGAAGTGTGCATGGACCAGGGCTGTGTTGATGGTGTGTCTGGACCTGTGAGGGGTGAGGGTTATTAGTGGCAGAAGACTTGTGCTTCACAAATAGCCACAAAGAGGATTGGCCCCACCTTCCAAAGCCTGAAACAATTGGGTGCTCCCATGCCTAGGGCCAGCCCCACTCAGCTGCAATCCTAAGAGAGCTGACAACAGCGTTGCAGGCCTGAGGACTATGACTATAAGCCCCTAAGCCTAGCAACTAGCTACACTGGGTACTTACCCAATTATCAGGAAAACCGCAACACGAGTGTGCTATCAGGCCTTGTAGTCAACGGCATGGGGCTCCCCAAACCCAATTTACAAACAGCCTGACAAGAAGGGAAAGACTAGACTCCATAGGTACCTGCAGTAGGAGTAACCCTGCCACAGCAGGACACAAATAGCCCACACAAGGGTCACTCTTGGATCATTTGGACTGGTGATGAGAGGGAAGCACACTGCTGGGCCTCAAAAGGCATCTCTTACATACAGCCACTTTGCCAAGATCAGGAGACATAGCTGACTCACCTAACACATAGATATAAGCACAGAGAAAGAGGCAAAATGAGGAGGCAAAGGAATACATTGCAAACAAGGGAACAGGACAAAACCCCAGAAAAAGAACTAAATGAAACAGAAGTAAGCAATCTTCCTGACAAAAGGTTCAAACAAAAACTCATAAGGATGCTCACTGATATTGGGAGAAGACTGGATGAACACAGAGAGACCACGAAAGAACTGGAAAATATAAAAAAGAACTAATCAGAAATGAAGAATACAATACTGGAAATGAAAAATTCACTAGAGGGACTCAATAGCAAAGTAGATGATACAGAGAATAGATCAGCGAGCTGGAAGAAAGACTAGAGGAAATCACCCAAGCTGAACAGATAAAAGAAAAAAAAATTAGAACAGTCTAAGGGAACTCTGGGACAATGTCATGCGCACTAACATTCATATTATAGGGGTCCCATAAGGAGAAGAGGGAGACAAAGGGGCAGAGAATCTATTTGAAGAAATAATACCTGAAACTTTCCTAACCTAAGGAAGGAAACAGATGTCCAAGTACAGGAAGCCCAGAGAGCAGCCAACAAGATGAACACCAGCAGGCCCACACCGAGACATGTTATAATTAAAATGTCCAAAATTAAAGCTAAAGAGAGAATCCTAAAAGTGGCAAGAGAAAGGCAACAAGTGACATACAAAGGAAAGCCCATAAGGCTATTGGCGGACTTCTCAGCCGAGACCCTACAGGCTAGAAGAGACTGGCATGACATATTTAAAGTGCTGAAAGGAAAAAACCTACAGCCAAGAATACTTTATCCAGCATGATTGTCATTCAGAATGGAAGGGGAGAGAGAAAGAGCCTCCCAGACAAGCAAAAATTAAAGGAGTTTATCACCAAGAAACCAGTTCTACAAGAAATGCTGAAGGGATTTATTGAAGTGGGAAAGAGAAAACCATAAATAGGGATAAGAAAATTATCAAGAAAAAAAAACAACCAGGCAATAAAATCATTGGTAAAGGCAAAAATACAGTAAAGGTAGCAGATTAACCACTTATGAAGATATTATTAAGGTTAAAAGATAAAAGTACTAAAATTATCTATTTCACTGATAAAGAGGATAATGGATAGACACACACAAACAAGAGATTAGATATGATTTCAAAAACATAAAATGTGGGAGGAGGGGAGTAAAAGAGTAGAGCTTTTAGAAAGAGGTCAAGCCTAAGAGACTATCAACTCAATATAGATTTCTATATACGTAGGACATTATATAGGAACCTCATGGTAATCACAAACCACAAACCTATAATAAGTAAACAAATAAGTAAGAGGAAAGAAATCAAACATATTACGGAAGAAAGCCATCAAACCACAAGGGAAGAGAGCAAGAGAAGAAGAAAGGTATAGAGAGGAACTACTAAAACATCCAGAAAAAAAGGTAACAAAATGGCAATAAATTCATTTTTATCAATAGCTACTTTAAATGTCAATGGACAAAATGCTCCAATCAAAAGACATAGGGTGGCCAAGTGGATTAAAAAAACAGGACCCTTATATATGCTGCATACAAGAGACACACTTCAGACCTAAAGACACTCACAAACTGAAAGTGAAAGGATGGAAAAAGATACTCCATGCAAATGGCAAAGAAAAGAAAGCAGGGGTAGTCATACTTATATCAGACAAAACAGACTTTAGAACAAAAACTGTAACAAGAGACAAAGAAGGGCACTACATAATGATAAAGGGAACACCCCATCAAGAGGATATAACACTTGTAAATATCTATGCACCCAACATAGGAACACCTAAATATATACAGCAATTATTAACAGACATAAAAGGAGAAATAGACAGTAATAGTAGGGGACTTTAACACTCCACTTACACCAATGGATAGATCATCCAAACAGAAGATCAATAAGGAAACATTGGCCTTAAATGACACATTAGACCAGATGGACTTAGTAGATAGATATAGAACATTCCATCCAAAAACTGCAGAATACACATTCTATTCCAATGCACATGGAACATTCTCCAGGAGTGATCACATGTTACACCACAAAACAAGTCTCACTACATTTAAGAAGATTGAAATAATACCAAACGTCTTTTCTGACCACAAAGGTATGAAACTAGAAGTCAACTATAAGAAGAAAATCAGAAAAGCCACAAAAATGTGGAGATTAAGCAAAATGCTACTCAAGAACGAATGGGTCAATGAAGAAATAAAGGAGGAATCAAAAAATTCCTGGAGACAATGAAAATGAAAAGACAACATGCCAAAATCAATGGGATATAGTGAAAGTGATTCTAAGAGGGAAGTTTATAGCAATTCAGGCCTACCTCAACAAACAAGAAAAACCCCAAATACACAATCTAACAGTGCACCTAAAGGAACTGGAAAAAGAAGAACAAACAAAGCCCCAAATCAGCAGAAGGAAAGAAATAATAAAAATCAGAGCAGAAATGAAATAGAGACTAAAAAAACAATAGAAAGAATTAATGAAACCAAGAGCTGGTTTTTTGAAAAGATAAACAAAAAAGACAGACCTTTAGCTAGACTCACCAAGAAAAAAGAGAGAAGGCTCAAATAAATAAAATCAGAATTGAAAGAGGAGAAATTATAATGGACACCTCAGAAATACAAAAGATTATAGGAGAACACTATGAAAAGCTATACATCAACAAATTGGATAACCTAGAAGAAATGGATAAATTCTTAGAATCATACAACCTTCCAAAACTGGGTCAAGAAGAAGTAAGAAATTTCAATAGACTAATCACCAGTAAGGAGATCGAAACAGTAATCAAAGACCTCCCAAAAAATAAAAGTCCAGGACCAGATGGCTCCCCTGGTGAATTCTATCAAACATCAAAGAAGACTTAATACCTATCCTTCTCAAACTTTTCCAAATAATTGAAGAGGAGCGGAGGCTTCCTAACTCATTCTACAAAGCCAACATTATCCTGATGCCAAAACCAGACAAGGACAACACAAAAAAAGAAAATTACAGGCCACTATCACTGATGAACATTGATGCAAAAATCCTGAACAAAATACTAGCAAATCGAATACAACAATATGTTACAAAGATCATACATCATGATCAAGTGGGATTTATTCCAGGGATGCAGGGATGGTTCAACATCCACAAATCAATGAACGTGATACACCACATTAACAAAATGAAGAATAAAAATCACACGATCAACTCAACACATGCAGAGGAAGCATCTGACAAGATACAGCATCCAGTTATGATAAAAACTCTAAATAAAATGGGTATAGAAGGAAAATACCTCAACATAATAAAGGCCATATATGTCAAACTCACAGCTAATATCATTCTCAACAGAGAAAAGCTGAAAGCTATCCTCCTAAGAAAAGGAACCAGACAAGGAGGCTGACTTTCACCACTCTTTTTAACATAGTATTGGAAGTCCTACCCAGAGCAATCAGGCAAGAAAAAGAAATAAAAGGGATCCAAATAGGAAAAGAGGAAGTGAAACTGTCAACTCTTTGCAGACAACATGATTTTATATATAGAAAACCCTAAAGAATCCATTAAAAAACTTTTAGAAATAGTAAATGAATATAGTCAAGTTGGAGGATAAAAAATCAACATACAAAAATCCATTATGTTTCTATAGACTAACAATAAAGTAGCAGAAAGAGAAATTGAGAATACAATCCCATTTACAATTGCAACAAAAAGAATAAAATACTTAGGAATAACCTTAACCAAAGAGGTGAAAGATCTGTACACTGAAAAATATAAAACATTGTTGAAAGAAATTGAAGAAGACATAAATAAATGGAAAGAGATTCCGTGCTCTTGGATTGGAAAAATTAACATAGTTAAAATGTCCAACTTCCTAAAGCAATCTACAGATTCAATGCAATCCCTATCAAAGTTCCAACAACATTTTTCAAAGAAATAGCACAAAGAATTCTAAAACTTATATCGAACAACAAAAGGCCCCGAATAGCCAAAGGAATCCTGAGAAAAAAGAACAAAGCTGAAGGTATTACACTCCCTAATTTCAAAATATACTACAAAGCTACAGTAACCAGAACAGCATGGTACTGGCACAAAAACAGACACAGAGATCAATGGAACAGAATTGAGAGCACAGAAATAAACCCACATATATGTGGACAGCCAATTTCCGACAAGGCAGCCAAGAGCATATAATGGAGAAAGGAGAGTCTCTTTAATAAATGGTGTTGGTAAAACTGGACAGCCACATGTAAAAGAATGAAAGTAGACCATTATCTTATATCATGCACAAAAATCAACTCAACATGGATTAAAGAGTTGAATGTAGGACCTGAAACCATGAAACTTCTAGCAGACAACATAGGCAGCATGCTCTTTGACATTGGCCTTAGCAGCATATTTTCAAGTACCATGTCTGACCGGGCAAGGGAAACAAAAGAAAAAATGAACAAATGGGACTAACTCAAACTAAAAAACTTCTGTACAGCAAAGGAAACCATCAACAAAACGAAAAGACAAGCTAACAATTGGGAGAAGATATTTGCAAACCCATATATCAGATAAGGGGTTAATATCTAAAATATACAAAGAACTTATACATTTCAATAACAAAAAGACCAACAACCCAATTAAAACATGGACAAAAGATCTGAACAGTCATTTCTCCAGTGAACATATATGGATGGCCAACAGGCACATGAAAAGATGTTCAACATCATTAACTAGCAGGGAAATGCAAATTAAAAGTACAATGAGATATCATCTCACTCTGGTCAGAATGGGTATAATTAACAAGACAGTAAACAACGTGTTGGAGAGGATGTGGAGAGAAAGGAACCCTTGTACACTGCTGATGGGAGTACAAACTGGTGCAGGCACTATAGAAAACAGTATGGAGAATCCTCAGAAAATTAAGAATAGATCTACTGTATGATCCAGCTATTCCACTGCTGGGTATTTATCCAAAGAACTTGAAAACGCAAATGCATCAAGATACATGCACCCCTATGTTCATCGCAGCATTATACACAATAGCCAAGACTTGGAAGCAACCTAGGTGCCCATCAAGGGACCAATGGATAAAGAAGATGTGGTATATATACACAATGGAATACTACTCAGCCATGAGAAATGATGAAATCTGGCCATTTGTGACAACATGGATGGACCTTGAGGGGATTATGATGAGTGAAATAAATCAGAGGGAGAAAGTCAAACACCATATGATCTCACTCATAAGTAGAAGGTAAAAAGAACGACAAACACACACATAGCAATGGAGATTTGATTGGATGTTACCAGAGGGGAAGCGGGGAATGGGGAGGGTGAAAGAGGTGATTAGGTACACGTGTGTGGTGATGGCTTGTAATTAGACTTTGGGTGGTGATCATGATGTAATCTACACAGAACTTGGAATATATTACGTTGTATATCTGAAAGTTATATAATGTTATAATCTAGTTTTACTGCAATTAAAAAAAAGAAAAAAAACCCATATTGTGTGACTCTTAAAAAGGGTCAGGTTGATAAAGATTGAAAGAGGATTTTTGGAGAGAACTATTGGAGTTACAGAGCCTTGTTCCATGTGTGAGGGAAGTAAGGGGGCCTGCCCTCCTCTCAAGCCCACTGAGAAAGGGCTTTACTGGCCTACTCGAGAGCTTTCTATATGACCCTCAGTTGGAAGACAGACTGGTGTCTGACTTGCCAGCTAAAGAAGCCACTGGCAGAATTAACTGTGTGGTTGAGGAATTAACTGTACTGATGACAGTGGAGTGGAGGTGTGTTTTCTGTGGACCAAGTTGAGCACACATGCTTGTAAGATACTTCCAGTCTGAATCTGCCCAAGAGGGCCTCTTGGAAGATGACAGGACCTCAACAGAGTGTCTCTAGAGGAGGAGTGCTAAGAACCTGGGACTAAAGGCAAAGTCCTAGCATCCATGCAGAGAGTAAATCACCCTTCTCAGAGAATGGATGAGAAATGCTCAAGGGGTTGGGGGTGGGAGAAGTATCTGAAGAACCTCAGGAAGTGCCCCATGAAAGAACCAGAGTAGTTTTAAACAACTTGCAAACCCAAAGACCACGAATGCAAAACCGCTAAGATAGTTCCAGTCATCAAATAACTTTCTTGCATGCCTTACTCTCTTCCCTCCACTTAACCCTGACCCTGGTGGGCCAGAACCCTTGGTCAACAAGCTGGGGGAGGAGGAGTGGAAGCATTGTGGGGAAAAGAGCAGCCAACTATGGCCCTCTATTCTAGTGCAGCTGGCCCATCTAGAGTTCACCCATGCTGGGGAGGGTGGGGGGGAAGTTTTACATGTGAATGAAGTTTCGTGTATTTGGTTATCACAGTGAGGAAGACATTAATTACTGAACTAGAGGTCATTTTCTAACTAAAAGTGACTGGAGGCCTGCTTACTTACAAGTGCCCAGAAAAGCCATACGATCTGCTCTGTATTTCTTCTAGGTCCTGGATTCTAAGGGAAGGAGAACTGCTTTTGCAGAATAGATTAAAGGGATTGTGAAGCAAAATGTTTTATGGTTACACCTCCTAAATCCTGCTTTTTCTGTGTAATGCCCATAGTACTCACATGTTGGTTCAGAGGCACCAATCCTAACTGAGACTCAAGGAGAGTTATTAAATTATTTGTAAGTCAGTTAAACAATTATCTTTATGGTGATAAAAGCAAGTGGTGGCTTTTTCCCACGCCTCATTTAGGGTCAGTGAATCAAAAATTAACTACTGTCTACAAAGGTTTAGACTAAATTAAAATTTTACATGAATATTGTTGACAGTGCCAATTTGGGGCAAAAATTTATGCTTTCAAAACAGGAAATTTTAAAAGTGTATGTGTGTATAAATAGAATTCCCCTCCCACTGTAGGTATGGGAAGGATTGACAGTACTCAGTCCCGTGAGCGAGGTCATATCTCTTAGAGTACTCTTCTGAAATGGACCCTCTCAAGTGTAGGAGATTCTTTGATTATATTTTTAAAGTTTCTATTTTCTGAAAACTTTTGGATTTATTGATCTGATCAGTGGCAGTAAGTAAACTGCTGTCAGTAGCCTTATAGTGTTTGTGAATTTCTTTATCCTTGCAATGTATTTGTAATACCATTTTTTTCTAGTACCTCCTCTTTTTTACATTCCCATTCACTTTGTATAGCACACTAACACTCGACAAAATGTTAGTACCTACATGGTTTAGCTTTCATTCCTCTGCTTTAAAAAAAATCATTGTTAAAGATCCCTAAGTATTAACTGCCTTTAATGGGAGATGCCATTTTTCAATTCCAGGCAGCAAGTTTAATGCAGAATCCTCAAGTTCAACAGCTGTAAGTATATCGAAAGAGCGTATTACATTTCCCCCTTCCACTGGCCAGTCTCCTAATATGAGCACATCAGCTCCAAAATAATAAAACTGGCCTGAATACCAGTCAGTGGGAACTTAACGCCATGCACATTTGGCCTAAGACTGTATATAGTGTGGGTATATTTAACTGACTTTTCATTGGCCAGTATCCTATTTGTTAAGGATACATGCCAATCCCAGTGCTATATCTCTTGCCTACTCTAGAATGTCAGGAATGATGACGAATGCCATTGGGGGACCTGCGGCTGGAGTTGGGGGCCTAACTGACCTGTCTAGCCTCATCCAAGCGTAAGTGTTACTTAAAATAGAAATAGTAAAAATGTTTATGTTTTATTTTGTCACTAAGGTGAGAGGACCAGGGCTTTCTTTTTAAGTTTTTATCTTTTACTGTTAGTATCAGTGGCCTTGATAGTTATTAAATCTAAAAGAAGTTCATAAATTGGAATTTTCAGACTGAAGAGCAGGAATCCAGAAGATCTGGATCCAAGAAAAAGTTTTTTGGAAGATTTCAATAATTACTCAAGGATGTAGATGAAAGTCTAATATCTACTTAAGGCATGTATTAATTTAGGTACACATATATATTTAAAAGTCATATATCACACATATTGATGTTCAGATAGTTTAGGGAACTGTTTTATTCACGCTTTTTCAGTGCATGTCATCACTAAAAGGACTCTGCATCTTCTCATTACTTGAGCACAGTACCCTCACTTCCATCCAAGTATCTTTTTTTTTTTTTTTTTGAGGAAGATCAGCCCTGAGCTAACATCTGCTGCCAATCCTCCTCTTTTTGCTGAGGAAGACTGGCCCTGAGCTAACATCTGTGCCCATCTTTCTCCATTTTATATGTGAGACACCTGCCACAGCATGGCTTGCCAAGCGGTGCCGTGTCCGCACCCGGGAGCCGAACCGGCAAACCCTGGGCCACTGAAGCAGAACGTGCGAACTTAACCGCTGTGCCACTGGCCTGGCCCTCATCCAAATATCTTAAGATGCTCTGCTTTTTTGTTTGTTTGAAGAAGATTAGCTGTCAGCTAACATCCACTGCCAATCCTCCTCTTTTTGCTGAGGAATATTGGCCCTGAGCTAACATCCGTGCCCATCTTCCTCTGTTATACGTGGGACGCCTGCCATGGCATGGCTTGACAAGCAGTGCCTAAGTCCACTCCTGGGATCCGAACCTGTGAATCCCAGCCACCAAAGCTGAGTGTGCGAAGTTAACTGCTAGGCCACTGGGCCGGCCCCGATGCTCTGCTTTTTGAATCTGTGTATGATGCTGTCACTGGAAATTTTATACGAAGTCACAAGTGCTATTTGCGATCATGACTATGTAACCCTATTTCCAATATTGTGTTTTTACATCTTTAAATGACGTGATTATAGTGATGTCTAACACCTGCAATTGACAGTCACAAACAGGAATTTATATTAGTCTTTTTTTTTAAAGATTGGCACCTGAGCTAACAACTGTTGCCAATCTTTTTTTTTTCTATTCTTCTCCCCAAAGCCCCCCAGTACATAGTTGTATATTCTAGTTGTGAGTGCCTCTGGTTGTGCTGTGTGGGACACCGCCTTAGCGTGGCCTGATGAGCGGTGCCATGTCCACACCCAGGATCCAAAGTGGCAAAACCCTGGGCCGCTGAAGCGGAGCGCATGAACTTAACCACTCGGCCACAGGGCCGGCCCCTCTTTGTCTTTTTAAAAATCAATTCTGCTAGGTGATCTCTATAAGCACCCCAAAATGGGTTTGACACTTGTCATATGAGAAACTATTAAGACTTGACTATATGAGCAAATACTTCACATTATATTTGAGCACATACAATAAAAGCACATACTTTTTAGCCCTTTGCTTATTGTGGTTAAGCACTAGAGGGGGTAGATTTCACCCAATTCAGGAACTCATTTTTTAGCTTGAGTGTTTTGTTTCTTATAAAGAATACTGCACTGTAACAATGCTATATGGAGACACTGGTAAACTTGCAGTTAACAGTCATGTGCCACCTAAAGACCTTTCAGTCAACAATGGACTGCATATATGATGGTGGTCCCATGAGAAGAGTACCATATAGCCTAGGTGTGTAGTAGGCTATACCATCCAGGTTTGTGTAAGTACGCTCTATGATGTTCACACAAGGACAAAATCACCTAATGATGCATTTTTCAGAATGCGTCCCTGTCGTTAAGCAATGCCTGTCTGTACTAAAGTTATGATTCTAAAACCTTGTTTTTTTTTTTTCCCCTGCTGAGGAAGATTAGCCCTGAGCTAACATCTGTTGCCAATCTTTCTCTTTTTCTGCTGAAGGAAGATTAGCCCTGAGCTACATCTGTGCCAGTAGTCCTCTACTTTCTATGTGGGTTGCTGCCACAGCATGGCTTGACAAGTGGTGTAGGTCTGTGCCCAGGGTCCCAACCCACGAACCCAGGCCACTGAAGTGGAGCGCGTGGAACTTTTAACCACTTGGCCATGGGGCCAGCCCCATAAAACCTTGTTTTTAATAGAACAAATTCCCTTTGGGTAGTACCCACATCCTTTGCAGTTCTTTTTGCATGGGCACTGTGTGACTGGAAATTCCCTCCTTCATATTCACTTTGTCTCTTTACTATAGGGGTCAGCAGTTTGCTCAGCAGATACAGCAACAGAATCCTGAGCTTATAGAGCAACTTAGAAATCACATCCGGAGCAGATCGTTCAGCAGCAGCACTGAAGAACATTCCTGACTTGACCAGGGACCCTGGCCCAGAATGTAAATGGTGATGGCTCTGAAGTGCTTGCTGTAGATAGTGGCCAAGAATAAAAAAAAAACAAAAACAAAAAACCTAAAGAATAAATCTGTCTAGACAATAGGTTTATCACAAACAGACTTGAACATAACATGACTCCTTTGTAAACGAATGTTCAGTAGTCTTGTTAAGTGCCAATATAGCACTGCACAGGGGCTTCCATTTTCAAATCATCATCATATTTGTATATTAGACTTAATAGCAGAGTATGTTTATTGAACAGTAAGGCTGTTTATTGATGAGTTCTCTGGCTCCAAATTCCCTTAAGCGAACTTTTTTGAAGGGGAGATGACCAAGAGGGCAGGTTTCTCATGCTAGTTTAGGAGATATAGACTTGCCACTGAGCAGTGTCTGGAGAGAAGAAATCTGCTATCTAGGCTCAGCTCTGACAGCGCTATCAGTCAAGAACATATGTCATAGAGGCCAGTACTAAATTTAATGCTGCTTGTTCTGGTGGGTGACTGGGAATCTTAAGAGCTGGTGGAAAGCAGCATTTGGAGCAAGGGCTGTTGTTTTGAAAAGAAAAAATAGATGCTATGAATGTATAGAAAGTGAAGGTAGGATGCTCAGGTTTCCTGCATAGTTCTTAACTAATCTTGCCTGCAGTTTGGTATTGATAATATTAGCATGGCCAATTACGCTCAGTACATAATAAAATACATTTAGAAATCCTTAACAGTACTGGTTAGGTCAGTTGTATAACTATTGAATTTAACTAGCACAATTTCCCCAGTGGTGATGTTACCGTGGAAACTCTCAAATATACCTATATTTAAATAAGCCAGTGGCTTGGCCCTTAACTTAAGGATTTTCTAAGTGGCATTTAATTATGTGCCTATAAACTGTTTTTTTTTTAAACTTAGTAATTATTTGATGGATTACAAAAAGCATCTGTCACTAACATTGCTTATTCATGTAATCCTCTGCTATAATTTGGCTTGACATGTCAAAGCCTTTATGCTTAACTGTAATATGATGCAACTTAAACATAACAGGGACTTAAAATACTTTATTGAAATTAGAAGAATACATATTAGTGGAGAGAAGTGGCATTAGTTATTAATGGCATGGCTCTAACTATAGTGATGGATGAGACTGTTCTAATTCCAACTGGAATTTCTTTTGTTTGTTAATTATGAAATTGGTAAAGTTGGGCAGACGTAATGATTTCACAAGTGTGAGAGAAAACTAAAAAGAAAGTAATATAAAATTACATCAGTAATACTGATGATGATCAGGGTCTTAATATAACTGTTCTCCTCAAAAGACTAATTATGTAGTATCTTCAAGTTTAAAAACCACCTTTTCCTTTCTTTCCCTTTGTGAGATTAGAACAGTGGTTCTATACTTTCACTGTAAGAATCACCTGTAGAATTCGTTAAAAATGCAGATTCAGGGCCACACTTAATTTTTATTTAGTCGGTCCTGTAATCAGTCCCAGGAATCTCCATTTTAAACAGCACACCAGGTGGTTCTGATGTAGGTCCAAGGACTCTAATTTAGAGCAACACTAGATTAGAGATTTCTCCTCATTTTGATCAGCAAATTCCTAACTGCCTGGGCTCAGGCCACAACGAAGACCTGTATGAACCTATAGTTCTGGCCAGAGATGAGCAGGATTTAAATCGTAGACCCTTTGAATTAAATTTCCTATATTCCGTCAAAACCAACTTAATGTTTCATGAAGTTAAATTCAGCTCCTAGTGTTCAGGTGTTATACGAATGAAGTACAAACTAATCACATGAAACTGATGACCATGATGAAAAAAAAAGAAGCAATGTTGATCCTTAATTAAAAATTAGTCAGTCTTATCCAGTGTTGAGTAAGAAAAAGATTCTGGCATAACTATCTTGCATGCATTAAAAACGCTTCCAGATTAGTAAACTTGGTAAGCCTCTAGGTGACTGACTAGGAAAAAGAGAAAATACAAATCAACAGGATCCAAAGTGAGAGAGGGGCTGTCACTGCAGCCCCTGTAAACAGGAAAAGGAGAGTCAGAAAATACTATAACCAGCTCTAGGATATACATTTAACAACTTAGATGAAACAAATTCCTTGTAAGATACAAATTACCAAGGCTCATTGAAGAAATAGATTATCCTCCAGAAAATGAAACCACGGGCCCACACAATTCCAATGATGAATTCTACCAAACACTTAAGGGAGAAACAATATCAATTCTACACCATCTCTTCCAGAAAACAGAAAAGGAGGAAACACTTCCCATCTCAATTTATTTACCCTTTACTCTGATACCAAAATAAGATAAAGATATTATAAGAAAAAACACTTTACAACAATGTCTTGATTTGTTAACATCTGTAGTTAAGATAGCCATTCTTTTTACATGAAGTAATGGGAACTGACGTATTTCTTCCATTTTACCTTTCTAATTTCTTTCTTTGCTAATATACCACGCATAGCAAATTGAATTTAGATGATATCTGTCCACTTACCTGGATTTCCATTCTATTCAAGCCATTTTTGCTCTTTAAGTACTTTCATCACTTTGGAATCACTGCATTGCAAGCTATTTCAAAAAGTTTTGTGTAGTTGGATTATGCTAGCTACTCTTAAAATTCTAAGGAATGCCCCAAATATTACTTTTGCTTGTTTGCAACAAGACGTTAAAGTAAATCTTTATATACATTCTACTTAGGAATGACTGACTTCCATTAACCATATTTCACTGTAGTAGCTGTAGCTGTTATGATGCTATGTAAAACTTAAAATATCCTTTGTATGCAAATGACCTTTTCATTTAATGTACCAAATTGTTTATCTAATTTTTATAATATTGTTTAAACAGATCCTTTTTAAGATGACATTATCTAACCTTTACTTAAAGTATGAACAGTATGTGTCTAGGTTATTGCTTCTAAAAAGATACTTTGTAATTAAATCAAGTTAATATTAGCAGACTCCAAGTGACCATTATATGTTACTTTTTAAATTTGAAACGAAGTGAAACAGAAGGTTCAGTCGAGAAGATGCTTGGAAAACAATCACAAGACCCAGTGCAGTGGCTATAGTGTCTTATTTCATCATTTAGTCAATCTCACTCATTTTGGAAGAAAGACAGACTTCAATTTTACACTGCTTGCACTTTATTTTGCACAGACATTTCATTAATTACTACTCCAATTTAAGGGGGAGATCTCATTCTAAATACAGCTTTCATTTTGGACCAAACAATTTGTCATGGCAATAAATAATTATGCATTTAAGAAAAACCAGTTTTTGTATTTGACTTAATGCACTCTTACATTTAAGCAATTATATATACATCCTTGAATTTCAACTTACCAAAATAACTTTTTATTTAACAGCATAAGCTTTTATTTTCCTGACAAAATATTGAAACTTTTATTACATTCATATTGCAAAGTTGTTAACAATCTTAACTTTCTCACTGTTTTGTTCATGGCATAAGTAAATTAGTGTGACTACATGCAGATATAGAAAGTTTTATAATTTTAATACATGATTGAGAGTCCAAAATCAAATATCAGAAGCTGAAAATCCTTTAAATACTTATGAAAATAATTGGATTATTTTTCAGTGGGAAAATAGCCCAGGCTTTTTGGCTTAGAATTAGAAAATTATCAGCCTTCTTAATTAAGAGTTAACAAAATAATTAACAATCTAAGAAATAAAACCAATTCTAATCTGCTGTTAGTAACTGAAAACTTAGACGTGTGTGTTTGTGTCTATACACAAACACAGATATATACCAATACACTAATTTTGAAAACAACTAGAAAAACTCATACTGTGTTAGCAAATACAAGGCTACACGAGGAATACCCCAGATGTTTTAAACAAACTTTTTCTGTTGACTGAGGTGCTAGGAAAAAAAGTGGGGTTAACTGAAATATTTCTAAATAATTAGAAGAATTCTAAGAAACAGCTGTATCTTCTAGATTGAGGGCAGCAAACTACGGCCTGCAAGCCCACTCTGGCCAGCTGCCTGTCTTTGTAAATACCGCTGTGCTCTTTGAGCCTGCTGGCTGCTCTCACACTACAACAGCAGAGTTGAGTCATTTCAATAGAAACCATAGGGGCTGCAAAGCCTAAAATATTCAGTATCTGGCCCTTCACATAAAAAGTTTGCTGACCTCTGTTCTAGATATTTGCTAGGGACAAATGGCCTCAAATATAGAGCTTTTGGAGAATGAAGTCCAATGCTCATCTAAAACGAAACAAAATAGGATAATGTGTAGAAAATGTACAAATGTCCATTTAGCATAAAACTGAAGATAATATCAATAGATGGTTCTTTTCAAAAGAAATATTTAAACTGTTTTCCAGGAAAGAAATTTAAATAATAGAAACTTATCTTTGCTGTTGATCATTTTACAAAGGTGACAAAAATACAGAAAGTTCTGTGAAACTCAACGAAAAGCATAATATCGGAAATTTTCTTCAGCTTTCCACTTTAACGGCCGAAGATACCACACAGACTTGTGCGATGTCATCATATTCATATGTTCTCTTTAAGAATGTGTCTGTAAGTCTTAAGCCGGAGACGCTCTATTGAGAGAAAGATAGAGGCCTACGTTTTCATTCATCGGTAATTACCAGAGAAAACAGAGATATAATAAATGACTATGGGTTCATATCCCCCCAATACTGAAATTAGTACAAAGAGAGCGAACCTGCAGTCCCTGGACTGAAGACAGCAGAGTAAGGGCAAGGCAGAGAGAGGAACTGGGATGCAGCTTTCCGAGCTGTCTTCCGGAAATACCACACCAGTGGATGGAACTGGTATTGCACATTTCCAAAACCAGATCCATAGTCCTTTCACTGCTGGAGGAATCAGAAAAACAGGAATAAACCTTGTTCTTTTCCCAGAGCTACTATTTCTTCCACTATTGCCAGTGAATTTGTTTTCTGGATGTCCAGGAGAATAAAAACCAGGAGAAATGAAATTTTTATTTCACTTAAGAGAGAATCAGGAAAATGGAAGGACACGGCATCTTTCAGGGTTTAAAGTGGCACTGAGACTAAGCTGCCTGTCTGGATGTAGCCTTCTGATTCTATTATTGAACACTGGCTGTGTTCTCATTGTATTGATCTGTTAACAGCCTTGCCATTTCTCTGGGACACTTCCAGATATCTGTGTCTAATCTTGTTGCTATGTATCCTTCCTATCTGTTAGGTAGTCTGCAGAAAGAAAAAGATAAACTGAGTCCGGTCCAGTGCTTTTGCCGTTTAATCTACGTTCTTTTACCGTGCAGATAACACAGAAAATGACTGACAAGATTTTTAAGAAGTAAATACTATTCATGTTTGTTCACTATTAACATGAAAAGACTACTTGTTTATAATTGGTATTACCAGTTCAGCTTAAACATGTTAAAAAAAAAACTGTTAATGAAAGCATGCACATTGTTTTTTTAAAAAAAATAACCAAAAGACTCATAATGAAAAATAGTCTCCTACTCTACCACCATTCATGACTACTTTCAACTCTTTCAGCTTTTTTTTCTCGTAGTTGGCTCCATATTTTAAAATACTTAAATTTTAATTTGATTTTTAGATATATTGATTTAATAATTAGCTTTTCTATGTCTCTGTGTCCCCAAAAAACATTTGAACATTTGAAATTCTGATTTTTAGACATATTGATTTAATGATAATTAGCCTTTATATGTCTCTGTGTCCCCAACAAACATCTGAAAAACATAGCATGGTATGCGCCACAGACCAGGTTAGAAGCACTACATGAATTTTCTCATTAAATTTCACAAACATCCAGTAAGTGTATATTGAATGTATCTGTGCGTGTGTGTGTGTGTGTGGGGGGGGGGGGGTGAATCCCATTTTTATAGATGAGGAAACGGAAGATCTAAGAAACAAGTGGTTTTTAGAAAACATACGAATCACCAAAAGTTAAAGTGAACACCAAAAGAAACTGAATTTATGTTTTACAGTACTCTGTTATTTGGTAATAACTGATTTGCTATACCTTGAAAAACGCAAAACAAACAAAAAATTCAAAAGCATACCCTATATGCACAGGGTCTTTACCCTGTGTGTGTTGTTTACTGAGCTCCTATGATGTGGTTGGCACTGCATTACAATGCTGGGTAAGAAACGTTCCCTTTCTCTTGAATAATTCACCATCTAGTTGAGGAAGCGACTAATAATTATAGCAATATATGAGTGTCACTAAAAACTGTACTCAAATTTGCTGTGACAGAGAAAAGGATGATTCTGCATGGGAGAGTGTAGATAACGTCATAGGGGAAAGTAAGTATTTTTGTAATTTTGAAGGATGAATATTTCCTATTTCCCTCATATCATAAAGCTGGAATGGATATGGAATTAAAAAGGATTATACATTCACTTTAGAAGGACTGGGATTCATCACTGCCATATTATCAAAGTGCCCCAACTAATAATACATACCAAGTAATAATGCAAGTAGTAGGTGATAGGACTAGAATTTAATCCTAGGTTTTTCTGGCTTCAAAGCCCCAGGCTCTTTGCTTCCCAATAGCTAGATTATGCTCTCCTTTTTATCAAAGCCCTGTTTTCCAATCTGATTATCATTTATATTAAATTCACAACCAATTTTTACTTTTGTAATACTAAAGATACAGCACAGGTATAAGTATGGCTCAGAAAAATCTATCTTATTATGGCTCAAAAAAATCTATCTTATTACATTAAATGTATAATGTATTATTCTAGAAGAACCTACTAGGTCAAGCTTTCATAATCTAAAATATGAAGGATGTGTAAACAATGAAAAGAACATGGACTTTGAAGTCAAATATACCTGGTTTCAAATGCTGGTGCCATCTTCTCTAGCTCTCTGAGCATGAATAAAGTTACTTACACCTCTGAGTTGGCATTCTCTTGCACAGAAATACCTACCTCAGAGTATTATGCGTGAATGAAATAAGATACAGAACATGCCTCATATAGCAGGACCTCAAAAATACATAACGTACAGCTACCAGATGAAGACCTTTACAGTATTTGGAGAAGGCTATATGGTAAGAGGAAACTTAAAAGGAGATAGCATATTTAAAAGATTTTAAAATTCTCTTTTAGGTAGGTGAAGGGGAAAGAACATCCATCCACGAACACTGGCATTACCTGCAGTTTGTTATTTTACAGGTAATATGAAAAGGTTCTTCTAGGTTTACGGTATCTGGGATTGCCTCCAAAGACAACCTAACATCTCCATAGCCTGGAGCCTAAAAGAAAAGCAACACAGTTAACATACATCTACCACAAAACCTTTCCATTTTAATGAAGGGATCACGCCAACACATCCACCCAGTAGTTGGGTTTCCAAGCTGATGTTCTGAGGAAATACTTCTCAGTCATTGTACTCTTCTTTATTCTAACTTGTTTGGCTGCTACTACCTGTGGAATAGCACTAGAAACCCTAACTGTTTTTGCTATAATTACCCCATGTTTAGCAGAGTTAAAATGAATCTCATAGGTAAATAGTAAAGAAATTTCAGGGGCTCTGATCTTAAAGGAATGCTTTCCAAAGATACTATAGCTTATACTACATAACTCTAAATAGGTAAGGTTACTGCCTAGATAGAAAAAGGAAGAGCACTTCGATACGATCCAGGAAGAAAATCATGTCTGTTCACAAGACACGGGCAGGGACAAAGCACAGAAACATCAAAGCTTGGAACATGCCATGGCAGGATGATAGCTAATTGCTATATTTTAGATTTTTTTATTTTTTCCTTTTTCTCCCCAAAGCCCCCCGGTACATAGTTGTGTATTCTTCGTTGTGGGTTCTTCTAGTTGTGGCATGTGGGACGCTGCCTCAGCGTGGTCTGATGAGCAGTGCCATGTCCGCGCCCAGGATTCGAGCTAACGAAACACTGGGCTGCCTGCAGCGGAGCGCGCGAACTTAACCACTCGGCCACGGGGCCAGCCCCTGCTATATTTTAAAATAGGCCCAGTGATAATCCTTTTTTTCCCAATTATTACCTCAAATAGTAGAAGAAAAGTAAATTTTAGAATATATCACAATAGGTAGTATTTAGCATAAAGGGAGGATTCTGTAGCATATCCCAACTAACACAAGGAAAAGAACACTGGTAACTATCTACTCTCAGAGCAGAAATTAGGTAAAGTATCCAACCAATGCTTACAAGATAATGTTAGTGGGACTCACTTTCTGAGTTTCAGATGACTCAGATTTTAAATATCTTAAAAAAAGGCATGAACCAAGTAGGTGAATGTAGTAAGTCCAAAAGTTTCAGGACATTTCAAAAAAAAAAAAAAAAACTTCATGTAATAGAAGTCAGATGAACAGTAAGCATGAATTACCATAGGAGGGAACAACTGATAATCACATATTTTAATTACTGTTTGGTAAAGTAAAAAACCATGTATTATAGTGAAATTAACATTTGAGTATTTTTCATTCATCTCGAAACCAATTTTCTACCTAGAGATCAGTGAAATTATTAGTGTTTTATCTTGTTCTCTAGCAATATTAATGCCTTATATAGTGCTCTGATTTTTAATGATAGATCTAGGGAAATTTGAGTTGTTCCCACTATCTGCCCCTTATGTGCCAGAATCCCCACTGATGTTTTTTCCAGACTCACCATTCTTTGAAGTTGGCTGGTCTGTAATCTTCCCCTTTCACCTAGATTTGTTTTCCACACTATATCCAATTTTCCAATTACTGTTACTCCCTTAATGATGCCTGCTTTTTCTGCAAACTCCTTCTTGGGCTTTAGGCAGTACAAGTACTGGCGTGTATCCATTGGCTGCAAATATGCTCTTGACCCAAACGTAGTTACACTGAGGGGTTGGAGATAGAGATGGAGAAAATTCTCTAGACTCTTTTAGAAGAAAAACCATGGCTGTGATTGTTACTTTGGACAGGAACTGAATTATTTACCATCCCAAAGATCTAGAACAGGTCAGTGGTTTCAATACAAATGAAAAGGACTTGTACTGAGAGGATTACTTTTCCTTAATTTTTTCCAGTTGATACGGAAAATCTAGAGGTTCTTTATAATAGAATGCAATGTATTACCTAAAACATTGGACATGTATCAAGTAACTGAAAAAATGCAATAGAAATCAGAACCTTAAGTGTCTTCTTTTCTCTAAAATTATCAAATAGTTTAGAATAAGAGGGAACATACCATTCTAAACCAAATAATCATTTTTAAAATGAACTAGAAGACCAGAAAAAGAATGGAAAATGATTGTTTTCATTAGTGGGGGTATGGGAGGCTACAAACATTTTTGTGTTTAACCACCATAATAAGATAAAAGTAAACTTTTCATTCTTGATTAAGAAAATTAGATATTTTCTTTAGCTATTACCTTCTTATCCATATTAATGTCAACCTTACATTTATTTATTATTCTTTTAAATTACCTATAGAAAGACATATGAACAGTCATGCACCAGATACAACATTTTGGTCAATAACAGATCACATATACCACAGTAGTCAAATAAGATTAATACCATCTAGCCAAGGGGTGCAGTAGGCTATACCGTCTAGGTTTGTGTAAGAACACTCTGATGTTCACATGATGCCGAAATTGCCTAATGACACATTTCTCAGAATGTATCTCCAGTGTTAAGTGATACATGACTGAAGTTCATTTTCACAAAAAATTAGATCATCTATTCCTATATCTACTCCTTTTGATGAGAGAATATTTCTTTTTAAAACTCACCCTCACCCTTTGCCTTTCTAACTTCTCCATCATCCCGTCGTGTGTCTCAGTTTTATCATTTGCAGGATAAGGATGAAACTGAATTATCATGAAAATTAAAAGAACAAGTGCTTCAAACAGCGAAAGATAAAATGCAAATAGCTAGGAGGGAGGGATGAACAGGCGGAGCACAGAAGATTTTCAGGGCAATGAAACTATGCTGGATAATGCAGTAACGGGGGCTACATAGCATTACGTTTGTCAAAGCTCATAGACCACACAACAGAAAGAGTGAACCCTAATGGAAACTAGGGACTTTAGTTAATAATAAGTATCAAGATTAGTTCATCAATTGTAACAAATGTGTCACATTAAAACAAGATGTAAACAATTAAGTGGGGAGGGGGGCATGTGGGAACTCTGCACTTTCTGATCAATTTTTCTGTGAGCATAAAACTTCTTTAAAAAAATAAGGTCTATTAATTTAAAAAAATTATAAACCATGCAAGAGTAATGGATGTTAGAAAAGTTCATATCTTTCAAAATAAGAACAAATGCTTCATAATTCATATTTACCATTCTCCAGCTTGGTTGACTGAATTTAATTCTGCTACATTATACATTATAGATGGCTCCAATGAAACTTTCTCCATAAACATGGGTGAGGTTGTAATATTCTGAATCTGGGCTTCCAGAAACACTTCATCAGTCTGAGGATATGAAAAAAATATCCACCAAAGTGTGATAATATTTAAAATATTTACTTCAACAAAAACATCTGATCTATATGAAGAAAAAATATTAACCACAAATGTGATTAGTTCATGCCTGCAAATCAAAGTTATAATTAATCAAGAAAAGAAATCTTCATCCTAATGTAATTAACGGGGAAAGTCAAGTGTTAGTCAACTGATACCTTGCTAAACAATGGATGAGGGATAACTACAATATTTTTTGTATTAACATCCAAAAATATTTATTTAACTGGAATTTCATTCACAAATATCCTAAACTTTCTAGTAAGTCATTAACATGTTAAAATGTGATTTACTATGATGAAAATACCTGTCCACCTATCATTTCAGTGATCAAAGAATTAGGCATTCATTATATTCCAGCATAATATAACTTCAGTTGTCATATTACTTCAATTTAGCCAGTACAGGGACCACTAGTACAGTGAATAATCTTATAGGACTTAACTTTTTAATTAAAGCAATTTGTTAGTGGTCATTAGTGATTTCTTGGTTCATTTTAAATTTTATTTAGGGCTAAAAAAATGTGAATTATACCTGACAATCTTAGAGCTTTTAAATCAAACAAAAGATATTTGTAGCCTTAGTGACAGATTTGAAAACTAATGCTGTTTAGCGGTACTTTAATCAATGGGTAATTTAAATACGTACTTTTATGTAAATTTTTAATTCCCTGATTATTTATGCTAAACATCCTTCTTTTGACACTATTTGGGTATTTTTTTGTGTAAGTGTAATTGAAAGATAACAGACAACTTGGTTCATTTTTGAAACAAACCTATATGAAAACATGTGAAGGATATTCAAGAATTATTTTGTTCAAAAGTTTCATAGTAATATATATAGAAATAAAACAAAATAAACTATGACCAAAAAAATTTGGTACTTATGACCTTTTTTTAACACTAAATCCAGGAAAATGGAAATCAATTGCAAAAATATAATGATGAAGTTATAATTTAATGTACTATTATCTAAAGTAAAACAGATTCTAGTCCTTGGCACATGTGCTCAAATGAAAATAGAAATACAATGACTTAACAATTTAAAAGAATGTCCAATTTAGAGGCATTATTCTGTTACTTTTTCTTTAAAAAAAAAGTAAATATATCCCATCAATCCATTGCTTTAAAAAACATAACCACAGACCCACATTTCCAATTTAAAAATGCAATTTTCTGCATAAATTTAGGAAGAGCTTAGATAAAAATGAAAGAAAAACAAGCAGCATAATGGAAAATTAAGTTAGTTTGAACAGTTACTATAATTTGACATTTGAAAAATTAAGATAAGAATTCAGTGCTAAGGCAACTGATGTATGTTGTGTGCTGCTTACATTAAATAAAATTTTGAAAATATGATTTTGGTCAACTTGGGAAGATTTGATTTTCTTCTGTTTACAGTTGTCAAAGGGCCATCTTTACGTGACCCAGACTTAAAACTAAAACCATGGTGCATTGAAGATGAATTTCAACCGGATACTTTATTCAGAGAATTGAAGTATAATAGGGTATTTTATATTAAGATGTTGAAAATCTCAAGGCTATTTTTAAAAAAGTTAACATGCCTCTTTTAAAAAATACCTAAAGGAAAAACCCTAAAAATAAGAATATAATTATTTCAATATGACAATTTAATCACTGATCTAATTTTTCCCCAAAGAATAAGAATCAATTATAATATTAAAAGCACTAACAAATTATATAAATCTTTTTGAAGTCACAAGGGTAGTAGTCACAACTAACTTTGTTTTTCCACTATGTTTTGTAAAGAGAGATTAATTACGCAGAGCCAAAAAGTAGTGAGTAAGAAAAGCATATAAATTTATAATAAAAAATCAAATTACCACAGAATTGAGGTCACTCTAATGGAAAAAAAGAAAAATTAGAAAAATCAGAATTAAATGTTAAAGAAAAAGATTAACTAACTTTAAAATAAAATGCATTTCTGCATTTTTTTTAATTTACTAAACAAGACAGCATTAGTAAAACAAGAAAGTAAACAGAAGGCAACATAAAGAAATACGACAAATCATTCTTCTAAAAAGGTGAAACTGCTAGGGTTAAATGAATAGCAAAGAACACTACAGGTGAATACTTAAACAGGAGCAAATACTCAAGGGCACATCCTGGAGGGAGAGGGGCATCCCACGCCTTTCTATTCTATGAATGCGTTACCTATGTTGTAATTCTTCATAGATTACTTAGGATGGAAATATACTATCCTCCACATTCAGTATAGATTTATACTGTATAGCTTCTCTTAAATTTACCTAATAATGGCATGCTTTTCAAGGAGCATCTTGGATGATGAGAGTTCTACGGATCACACTTCAGGGGAATGCTGCGTTAGACCACTTCAGACAATTGAGACTTTATTCTCCTTTTGTTAATGGATCTCATAGTCTTTTTTCCATATATATATTTCTAAAGCTACTTATTCATCAAAGGCCATTTCAAATGTCACCGCTTTTGTCAAACACACAGCTGGAAATGTTTTTGCCTCTTTATGTTCCCAGAGTATAAGCACCCTTCCTCCTCTGGACGGGAGAGCTGCTTACCCTGCAGCTGTGCCACGTCAGTCTCCACTAGATCTAAGTTCCTTGACGAGTGGGAAGATGTGCAGTTTACATTTATTTCTCTTCAGTACCTGGCATGGAGGGAGCTCTGTAATCAGCAGGTGACCAAATGTTTGAATACTAGCTTCTACTGTAACCAAACTTCTTGCAAGGCTTTCCTATTCTAGAAGACTGCAACAAAGTTTCTCATGAAACTTGTTTTACTTTAGGTGATTTGCATATTATTAGAATTGTTAGAAACAGCATAAAAAGCATGTATTTGAGACAAATGTAGGGCCAATAATAGTTGTTGTGTAAGGACTATGGTACAGAGTAATAAATATCATCTACCGATATTAGTGTGGTTTACTAATTCCGACAATCTACCTGAATTTCCTAGTTAGAAATTCGTGCTACAGGCCGAGGAGTATTTGCTTGCCTAATAGGTAAGACCAAATATCTTCAACAGATCCTAAATGCTATTTGTTCACTCTTGGTTTTTAAAGAGATGTCTATTTTCAAAAGTTCAGAATTTTACTAAAATTTTTTTTGCTTAAGTTTGTTGGCAAAGTTTAAATATTATGTCTATCTATAACGTTAACTAAAAAAGGCAACAAACAAAATTGTTGCTATGATTATAAAAACAGAACATTACATATAAATGAGTAAAGACAAAGAGAATATGGATTAATGAAAAATCAACTACCTGTTGGTGTGGTGGAATTGTGGGGGTTTTTTTCTTTCTTTTTGGAAAGTACATAAGTTCTATAATATTATTTATGGAATAACTAGCAATTTAAAAAACTGTCGGCAAATCATTCTGAATATTAGTGTTATAAAACTACTTGACAATTATCTTAATGTACCACCACATTTTCAACAAAGAAAACCTACAATAGCTTAATATGTGCCTTCCTAGGAGCCAATTATACCAAAAAAGAGCCACCTCCAGCCCTACTTGTTTTTAATTTTCCAACATAGCTATTCCAAGAGAATGGCTACCAATCTCCCCTCATACTATGGATGAATCTTTCTCAGCAAAATGATAAATTAAGACTATTTAAAATTTACCAAGCTGAATAGCTGTAATTTATCAACAGTACACAATTAATAACAAAAAAGGTGGAACAAATATGTAGCATCCAAACTCCTCTACCCTCTAAAAGACATGTCAACTCTTTAAACATCTAGTAATGCCCTTGATGACACTGTACCCTTCCATCAAATATGCTTGCTCTTCATTATGTGCTCAATATTCCACGTGCATTTGTAACTCTGCTTGGAATGCCTTCACTCTTCTGACACTTTGATCTTTGCAACATCCATTCCTTCTAGACTCTGCTCCAGTTCCCCTCCTCTTCCATGAAGCTTCTTCAGACTACTCCACAATCTCATGCCCACAGTTCCTGTAGCACATCTTTTTATAGCATTCTCTTTAGATTCACTATATACTATACTGGGTAGTTTTTTAATTTTATGCACTTTTTTCTTTTCTCCTAGTAGGTCTGTACAGCAGGTCAGTTTCCTTATCTTAGACATCTTATGCCCAGCTGCAGTATAAACTTTATACTCAATAAAAACTCAGATGCTGATGGTAAAAATATATATCGACTTTGACATGTGACTGCAAATCTCTAATCATCTGGTTTTAGAGTAATAAAGATATAATTTTCATCTCAAAATACTATATTTGAATATCTTTGAATTTATCACTGTGGTACAAAACACATGATTTTTGAGAGATCAGGGGCCCATTAGGAAATTTGCTTTTTCTGAAGCTCTAGAAGCCAGGATAAAATAGAATTTTGTAAAAGAAATCCAAGCAATAAAACCTTTCTCCTATGGCAAATTTTATTTTATCTCTTTTGTTAGGCTAGAATATAGATTACCTTCTATTGTAAAAGTTACTTCTTTCTATATTTTTGCCAAACTTCTTTCTCCCAACGAACATTTCAAGCCATTCACCAAACTCAGCATCCTAACTCTGGCTGGCATATTGACTTCCCAGGATAAAGAATTTAGTGTGCTGAGCTTTGCTTCTCCTTGTTTTTCCATGTGAACATTAACTCTTTTTTGTAGGGTTAGATCCACTACTTCAATTCTTTTTCTTTTTTTTTTAGGAAGATTGGTCCTGAGCTAACATCTGTTGCCAATCTTCCTCTTTTTGCTTGAGGAAAACTGTTGCTGAGCTAACACCTGTGCCAATCTTCCTCTGTTTTATGTGGGATGCTGCTACAGCATTGCTTGATGAGCAGTGCTAGGTCCACGCCTGGGATCTGAACCTGTGAACCCTGGGCCACTGAAGTGGAGCACAAGAACTTAACCACTACCCCACCAGGCCTGCCCCTACTACTTCAATTTTTGTAATGTCAGAACCACATTGTAAATATTTAACAGGTTGCTAATGTTTTTAGACAGTAGCAACAACCATTAAATGGAATATAGGGCAAGCATTTAATTAAAGGGGGTGAAAGCCTCACAAAATTAACGAGAATAAAAATCAAGGCATAATGATTTCATGTAAGTAGAAAACAGTAGATTAAAAGAGATCTACAATAAAATTATTCACTTTGAACTTTATGCTCATTTTTCACAAGATATTTGCAGTCATATCAGCAATTTACTTCAATATGAAAAGAAATGTAATACATCAGAATTTTAGTCAAATAAGAACTTAAAACAATAATCTGAAATCACATTAAGTGCCCAACACTTACCTCTGCATTGTAAAATTTGGTTTTCACATCCAGTGGTTTGAGAACCTAGTTGAATAAAGCATATCAATCAGAGGAGATTCTTATCATTTGACCATTTATTTTTTCTCATTTGTTTTAAATCATAGTGTTTAAATTTGTCAAAGGCATTTTCCAATTTTAATTCTAAAAGACTTTTCTAACAAGTGTGCAATACTCTTGCAAAAACAAAAAAAGAAACAACAATCCCCAGTCTATTTTTAAAAAGGCAGCCATCATTTCCTCACTGGGTGATAGATAGTTACATGAGTTACCTGGATGTTTACTTCAGAATATTTTGCTAAACTGAACACACATATTTTATGTATTTTTCTATTTATATATTTCACCAAAAATGCTTATCAAAATAAGCAATCGAACCTTCTATTTTCCTTAGCATGTGAAACTTGAAACAAATGAGTGATGCAGCCAAGCAACAGCAAAATCTTTTTTCCCATTGATAGCACTTTTTCTTCTACTAACAAACAGAGGAATGAAAAATCTATATAACATCATATACAGATCCATATTTATATAGATATCTATGGTCATCTCATCTCCCCACCCATACACATACATGTGTTAAACCAGTGGGTTTTGACTGTTTTTGATCATGGACTTTGAAAATTGTATATAAATATAAAATTCTACCTACAATTCCAGTGACTCATGGAATACCTGAAAGAAGCTTAGACCACTCAGCCCAAGTCAACAATCTCTCATTTAAATATTTCTTTAGAAATTTGATATTATTTACACTTATTTTATCTGGATTTTACACTCATTTTATCCCTCTTCTAGATTCTTGTGTGTTTTGTCAAGCATGAAAACAAAAATAATTACTGTTTTGGATAAAAATCTTCAAGAGAGGGGCTGGCCTGGTGGCACAGTGGTTAAGTTCGTGTGATCTGCTTCGGTGGCCTGGGGTTCACGGGTTTGGATCCCAGGCATGGACCTACACCACATGCTCATCAAGCCATGCTGTGGTGGCATTCCACGTACAAAATAGAGGAAGATTGGCACAGATGTTCCTCAGAGACAATTTTCCTCAAGCAAAAAGAGGAAGATTGGCAATAGATGTTAGCTCAAGGCCAATCTTCGTCACCAAAAAAAAAACTTCGAGTGAAACATTACATTGGCAATGATAATTTCTCTGCTTTTATTTAAATTTAGTTTGACTTTAGATTGATAGTAACGTGACAAATCCAAAAATATTAAGCTATTTGCTTTCTTTGGAGCCTGTTTTCAGAGCAAATAAATAAAAATAACTTCATAGGGAAGAAAAGGCATCTAAAAACTATTTACCATTGTCATGTTCAATACCTGAAATTTGAAGAATTTTCTAAAATACATTTTTTCTCCACCCTGAGTTGTATAACTCACTGCACACACCAAGCTGAAACAGAAAGATGTTTTAATGATTTTGAATCATTTTTAATTTTGTTTCTTAACAGCAATTCAATACACTTCAATTCTACCCATGAATTTGGAAAATATTTATGCCAATGACATGAAAGTGAAGTCAAATGAACCTAGAGAAGGAAAAAATGAGTTCCAGCAGATATAGATATAATTACATGAACAAGAAAGCTCTGATTAGTAAAATAAGATATGCCATCTTTGGAGCAGGAAGTCAGAATCTTTTCTTCTAAAAGGTGAAATATATTTCAAAATAAGTCTCAGAATAACCAAATAGTTGAAGGTAAATAATAAGTTCGTATAAACTAGAAGAAAATACAAATATAAAAAAATTCTAGGATGGGCAAAGACTTCTTAACATAAATGCCATGGAAAGGAAAAGATTCTTAAAAATTTATAAATTGAATAAATCAAAAGCAGTAAAACAAAATAAAAAAGCAGATAACAAACTGGGATAAAATACTGCTAACAATATAAAGAGAAATTTCTGTAAACAAAACATTAATATCTTGCTCAAAATAGGAGGGAAGGATACGCAGACAAATCGTACTACCATAATTGGCAAATAAAAAATGTGAAAATGTTCAGTCTCACAAGTGGTCAAAGAAACAAATTAAAACTGCGATAAGATTTTTCCATCTCAAGATTTGGCAAAAATTCTTTATAAGTAAAATCAGAGTTGGTGAGGGTTTAGAGAAACTGACTCTTTTTACACTGCTAGTGGTTATAAGAGATTTAGAAAACAATCCTTCAATAAAAGAGTCTTAAAAGTGCTCATATGCTCCTATAGTAAACACACTTCAAGCAATCTAGCATAAGGAAATATTAAGGTGCTAATCACTGTGTTATTTATAATAGTGAAAAACTGGAAATAATCTAAAGTTCAACATTAGGGTAGACAAAGTAAAGTACACGGTCCAAGTGTGTAAGATAAAGCCATTTAAAAAATAATGTTTTCAAAGAATACTGACTCAAATGGGAAAATGTTCACAGTGAGTTGAAGAAGGTAAAACCACGGGTAATATGATGATGAAAATTTTGTAAAATATTATTTATTTATACATATGTATAGAAAAAGGAATGAAAAGAAATATGCTGATATTTTAATAATGGGTATACTAGCTGGTGATAATATAAGTAATTTAATGTCTCCTTTTACTTGTGCCCAGTACTCAGCCCGGTGCTCAGGATATGGGGTTGATCAGAACACAATACCTGCTCTCAAAGCGCTCACAGCAGGAAGCAGTGTAACCAATTTCAGGTTTTGAAGCTAGATTTAGATTTGACTTCTATGCCATTATTTTCTAACTATTTAACTCTACAAGAGTCTCATTTTCTGTAAAAGGGGGCTTTTACACATTTAATATCATTTCAATAAACACAAATTCAACAAATATTGACCACTATTCTCTGCGAGATCCTGGGGATAGAGTAGACTTCGCGGAACTCATACTTTAATGGGGATGGCAGGCACTCAGTAAGCAACCGTAAGTATAAAAGGCATAAAAAAAAAGACAAGTTATGTATGCTATAGAATATACAAAAGGGGGGATTTAATCTAGTCTCGGAGGCCGGGAAAGCCTCTTTGAGGAAGTCATGCTGAGTCCGAAATATGAAGAAGTAAATGTAAACTCAAAATGACACAGGCATTCCTTTGTAAGGGAAGAACACATTTCAGGTCATGGAGGAGTTCAAAGGTAAGAGAAGTCCCATATAACTGCTGTGAAGAGAGGAGAAGAGTGACAAAAAGTGAGAAGTAGAATGGCTGGTAAGGACTAAGTTGCGGTGAGGTTTGCAAAACCTATACGAAGCCAGAACTTCCTAAGGGTAGGGGGAGGTCACTGAAGAGTGAAGTGACTTATCCAAGATGGCACAGTTAATAAATGATGGAGCTAAAATTTGACCCCAAAGCTCATACCAATCACACAATATATATTAAAAAGTGTCTACAACAGAGCTTGTCACCAAAATAAGCTGATTAAATAACAGCTAATATTATATACTTTAATATTACATACTTCTTTAAGACAAAGAAGAGAAGCAAAAATGATGTAAGTGGACATGAAGAAAAGAGAATAATGAGAGATATTTAATAAGAACGAATAGGCCTTTGTGAATTGATAGGATGTGGGGGTGGTAAAGTAGATGGAGAAGTCTAAAATTACTTTAGATGGCTGCAATTTTCATATTTGCCTCTCAGACAAAGAAAAATGGAACATTCACATTCAAATACTTCCACAGGCCAGAAATACAGGATTTGAATTTTTTTTCCTCATAGCTTGTCTTTGGTTCTGTATTTCTGAGTTCTCAGGAGAGTGCATATACACAGTTAAGTACAGAATACAGAACTGAAAAATTGTAAATTTTAAGATAAATGCTATTAATACCAGTTGCTAGCATTTTAAAAAATAAGAAACATACTTTTAGACAGAGTGTTACCTGGGTTTTAAACATTTGCATGTTTTTTTATGTTTTAGATAAGACTGCCTGTAGACGCAAAAATGAAACTAGAGAAAAAAGAGGACAAATTAAGATTCCTTCCCCTACAAAACAAACATTTTGTTTGAAGTTTGCTCTGGTAAGCATGCAAACGTGGCATGTAAAATTCCTTCTGAAGTAGGTTCTTAGGCTTAATAATATGTGGAAATAAAGCAAAAACTTCAAATTAAAGCATATATAAGTAAAAGCCTTTGAGAACTATTAAAATTAATCCTTACATGTGTGTTCCAATTTCCTTTACTTCATGGTGTATGACATCATCAATACAACAATCAGGTTTAAGTTCAGCCACTGCAGCATTGGAGGCTGAAAGATTTAAACGTTGAGAACTTGTCTGAAGATCAGCCTTGAATGAAAGAGGTAAAAAAAGTCCAAATGAGACTGGTTACCTACAGGGTGTATGGGTATGTGTGGAAAGAACAGGGGAATAGGAACAAGGAAGTAGGGATGACAGGGGAGCAACACTTCTCTGTGTAAATCTTTCTGTATAGCTCTGACGCTTAGAACCGGGACAATGGTTCACACACACACCAACAATAAATAAATATAATCGGCCAGGAAGTTGGAGGAATCCAAAATGAAATAAAAACGGTACCAGGGGCCGGCCCAGTGGCCAAGTGGTTAAGTTTGCGTGCTCCTGCTGCAGCGGTCCAGGGTTTCGCAGGTTTGGATCCTGGGCGTGGACATGGTACGGCTTGTCAGGCCACGTTGAGGTGGCGTCCCACATGCCACAACTAGAAGGACCCACAACTAAAAGATACACAACTATATACTGGGGGGCTTTGGGAGAAAAAGGAAAAAAAAAAAAACTCAAAAAAAAAAAACCAAAACGGTACCAAATGAACCTGACTGCATTACAAACGAACACAACCATGGCCCGGGGCTGGGGAGAACTAACCTAAAGTTTGGCAAACAAAAGCTAAAGACAAAAAGAATGGCATGCAAATGTACTCTAGCTAGCCCATTTGCTTTGTCACTGGGGTATGGATTAGTAATTCCGAAACCTTTACATATACACTAGGACTAAACAAAAAAAAAGGAATATATTATGGATAACAAGAGACAAATTTATCACCTTCAGAGAAAAAGAAGTACAAATAAGGAAGGGGAAAAGGCTGCAATGAAACCTTTGCTGTTGGACTGGAATTTGAGGCAACAGTATGAACATAGTTTTTTTTAGGAAGATCAGCCCTGAGCTAACATCTGCTGCCAATCCTCCTCTTTTTGCTGAGGAAGACTGGCCTTAAGCTAACATCCGTGCCCATCTTCCTTTATATGTGGGATGCCTGCCACAGCATAGCTTGCCAAGTGGTGCCAAGTCTGCAACCGGGATTGGAATCGGTGAACCCTGGGCTGCCAAAGTGGAACTTTCATGCTTAACCGCCGCGCCCCTGGGCCGGCCCTGAACATACAGTTTTTAAATATATATATAGATGGATATTACAGAAACAAATATACATAGATGTGTATGCATGTGTTAGTATATAACATCAAAGGTAAATAACCATTCAAAACAACATTAGATGTCAGAGACCAAGTGATTCGTAGACCTAGAGATCGGCATTGAAGTCATCAACTAAGAAAGGACTACCTTCTCTAAAGTAGTACCCCCTCCCACCTAGTTACTCTCTATCCTATTCACCTTTTCATTTCCTTTTGATCATTTATCACTCTCTCTAATCGTCTTAAATGACATTGTCTCTTAATGTCCGCCACTTTCTATCACATTCAACTTTAACTTCCTTTGTAACAGTTATCACATTCTATAATTACTTTATTTATGATTTTGTTCACCTGTTTCTTTCTGTCTCCCCTACCAGAAATGTCAGATTTATGGAGGCAGGAACCTCTTGTCCTCTCTTGCTCACCACTATAACACAGTGCCTGGCACATTGCAGGCAATTAAGAAATATTTGTTGAATACTGAATGAATGAAGTTATGATAAAACTTCAAGGCAAATGTCAAGAAATATTCAGAGAAAGCAAAGATCACATTAACTCATGTTGATTAGGAGAAGTTTTTACATAAGAGCTAGGATTCTTTTAAGTTTTTGTTTCTTTTAAAAACCAGTTAACAGGTTTTCTGCAGTTAATTCTAACCTAACATTCTTACTGCTAGGCATTTTGAAGTGGGATATTTATTAGGGCGATCTCTTTTGTTATTGTATTCAGTTATCAAACAGGAGTAGCTCACACTTATTCGGTACCTACTACGTGCAAGACCCTGTTCCAAGCACACTGCTAACTTAATGCTCACCATCCTGAAGCAGCTAGTTGTACTATCCCTGTTTTATAGACAATAAAACCAAGGCAAAGGGAAGAAACGACTTCCTCAAGGTTATACAACTAATAAGTAATGGAGTGGAGATTGAAAATTCTTTAACAAACATTTTAGGAATTAGAGAAGTGGGGGAAGGAAACAGTTAAATCCATGGGCTTTCTGTCTAATGTTTTCCTACGTGTCATTTTCTAAACATTAATCATAACTACAGTGTATTTTACATATGGCTGAACACTTTTATCTTTCTCCTTTTCCACTATTATAAACAATGCTGCCTGAAGATTTATTTCCTAATTACCTACTAGAGTATGCCAGGGCTTTTCCAGAAGCTGGAGATAGATCCAGTGAACAAAACAGACAAAATTTCTGCCCTTGTGGGATTTAAATGTTTGGAGAAAATAATAGCAGAGAAAAGGAGGAATGGAGGGCTGGCTTAGGGTAGGGGAATGCAATTTAAATTGCAGGGCAGGCTTCCTGCTGCAAACTGATTTTTGGATGAGCAGAATCTGAACAGGCCGAGGGGGAAGGGGAGAGAGGGATCCCTCCAAGTAAGTTAAACAAAGCTGGCAAAACCCTAAGTGGGAAAGCTCAAGACGTCTTCAGAGGCCATCAAGAGTCTGGTATAATTAAGGGATTCATGTTCAGGAATAGAGAGAAAATATTTAAACACATTTAGAATAAGCTTCAGGAGAATAGAGGCTAAGGTTTTCAGACTTACTAGTGAAGTTTTTTTTTTTCAATTACAAAACAAAAAAACTAGTGGTTTCCAGTTAAACGTGGTAGATTACACAAGCATTCTTATTCTCAAAAAGAACACAAAAATGACAGCAAAGGAATAAAAAAAGCACAGATCCACAATCTGTTCCACAATTCTAAAATCCCAGGAACTGGAAAAACTTAAGCTTTGAGGGCAGAATGTCGGGTGGCTCTTGTTAAGTCTTCTATACCTTGACTTTCTTTTTTTGTCAACTTGAGGTGTCTTGTACTGAATGTGGCAATATGTCAATCTCATATTATTAGTACGTTTCTATTTAGATCTTTCTATCTCTCTTACACTTTTTGCTTTATAAAGCCTGTGCTGTTTGGTGCACAGATGTATGTATACTTGTGAACTGTAGCTACAAGCAGTTGTTCTTGAACTAGGAATATCAAAGCACTCCAAACTGTACTTCACAGAAGGCAAAGGCACCAAGTCTTCATCTATACAAAAACACTGCAACAATCTTCTAAGTGGTCTACTTCCTGCAAACCACCCCATACAATGCTTTCATAGCAGTCTTCTAACAGTGTGAATACCTCTGCTCAAAAGTCTTCACTGGGGACGGCCCCGTGGCCAAGTGGTTAAGTTCGCACGCTCTGCTGCGGCGGCCCAGGGTTTGGCTGGTTCAGATCCTGGGCGCGGACATGGCACCGCTCATCAAGCCATGCTGAGGCGGCATCCCACATGCCACAACTAGAAGGACCCACAACTAAAAATACACAACTATGTACTGGGAGACTTTGGGGAGAAAAAGGAAAAATAAAATCTTTAAAAAGAAAAAAAAAGTCCTCACTGACTGCCCACTGCATTAAAAAAAAAGGCTAAAACCTTAGCCCAGCTTTCAAGATGCTCCACTGTATGGGTACTACACATCTCTACAACCTTACCTTTACCAAGTGAATTCTGTTCACTCCTACGAGAACCCATTATGTGTTCCTATGTCTCCACCTCTAATTACCATGTCCCTTTTGCCTTTTTCTCTAAATCCTACCATTCTTTCAAGATCCTCTCGTGTTCCCTCTCCTCCAATAAACCTTCCTGATTGATACAGTCCCCTGTGATCTTTCCTCCTCTTTCAAATTTTGTCAATCACAAATTATTAATAAAAACCAACAATTACTTTTGACTATACATTTTCTCACTCAAACTATCACAAACTTTGAGGATAAGGAAAAATGATTCTGTGCTTAGCATATCTTATACTTTTAGATGTTCAATTAATGCTTGTTGTTAATTACAATTAAAAAGTCCAGTATCAAACATACATTTTAACGAAGTTTCAAAAAGATAACAGATGAAATTAAAAAGTTTTCTGTAAAAAACTACATCCCAAACAAGAATACCACTTACTTTTACCAATATGTCTTTTACAACTTGATTGCTATCATTATGAACGCTGATATAACTGGAAAAGGTCTCTCCCAAAAATATATTCCTGTGAAAAAAAATCAATTTTTAGGCAGAAATCCACTCAAGTTTTATTACAAATATGCTATTTGAGCACCACCGAGAACTACAAATGGAGAAAAATTTACTGACGGACAGAGATCAGGTGAAATACTCCTTTAATATCCCTTTGTTTACACGAGGCTGTTCATTCATTACCTAGTGCAATGCAAAATACTGATTTAATTTATAAAACAGGATCCATATCTTGGCCCTCAACTACCGCACAAACCTCCAGCCTCCCTAGAAACAAGTTATTGAAGTCAGATCCATGCTAAGACTCTTATGATTTGTATCTGAAGAGGCTAGAAAAAGGCAATTTTCCATTTTTGAAATAACTTATGTCCTGAATCTAGAAGAGACCCGAGTTATTAATCTCAGAGTATTTTCTACCAATTTATTTTATTTTTCTAAGTTATTCTACTAATGACTAGTGCCTTTACTTTACATATTTATAATAAATAAATATTAACAAAGATTATAAATATAAATATATTTATATATTATACAAAAATATAAAAATCTAATTGCATATATTTTATAAATATATTCATTTATATTTTCTACATTAATATATTTCTAGGTTTTCAAGACACTAGTCAATGACCACATTCTGTAAACCTTTTTTTTTTTTTTGAGGAAGATTGGCCCTGAGCTAACATCTGCTGCCAATTTTCCTCTTTTTGCTGAGGAATACTGGCCCTGAGCTAACATCCATGCCCATCGTCCCCTACTTTATACGTGGGACGCCTACCACAGCATGGCTTGCTAAGCAGTGTCATGTCCGCACCTGGCATCCGAACTGGCGAACCCCAGGCCGCCAAAGCAGAATGTGCGTACTTAACCGCTGTGCCACTGGGCTGGCCCCTGTAAACCTTTTAAAAAAACCTGAAAAATTTCTTTTGGTCTCAAATTCTCTCAGTTGCAAAAAGTGTGGAACCAGGGGCTTCTACCTCATTAATAATCTAGAATAAGAAAACAGCTAAGAGCAAGACAAGGAATAATGAATTTAGAGTTCCTAATTAGCTGACAAGTCAAATAACTTATGTCGGGAGAGGGCTGTGAAGGTGAATAAAAGAGCTGCTTCTTAAAGACATTTAGATTAGTTAAAATAAAAGGAATACATGGGCATTAAATAATATAATAAGATCTAGAAAAGAAAGTTAAAATTTTATCACCCTAGGAACCACTATTAATATTTTGATATGTATCTTATTTTTTTTAATTAAAAATATCCAGAATCACATAGTATAATTTTGGTAAATCTTATTTTTACCACTTAAATATATCGTGACCACTTTTCCACCCCATAGTTATTTTTTGAAAACATGATTTGTAACGGCTTTAAAGTATTGTTGCATTTCTTATGTGAATGTATCGTTCTTACCCGAAATTCTGTGGTAAAGTCAACATTTCTCCCAACATTAATATTTCTGCACCATTTACAGTTGAAGGATCATCTCTCATGAGTTGGTTAAAGAGATCTCCTGTAGAAAGAGAAAAACATAAAATTCTAACACCTACCCTGTAAGTAAGTTTTACTTACATAAAGAAATAGCTGGGAAAGATATCTTTTAAAAAAATCTCTTGACAAAAATTGTATTAAAAAATTAATTTCTAATCTTCAATACAACAAATGCATGCCAAAAAAATTCTGGTTTCACAGAGAATGAACACTTCAGAAACAAAGACTAATATAGGTCATGAGATATAAAATATATTATAGAAAGCTCCAATAATTTTAAATAAAGGGAATGCTAATACATACACTGATGAAACACTTGGGGATAAATACAATTTCAATAGTATCATGACTATAAATGTATCTTTACTAAACTAAAAGTCTCCTGTTGCCATGGGATATCAATAGTGTCTTGACTTATAGATTGTGAGTGAGACCTATTAGATGGCGACCACCCACATGGTTCAAAAACAGGCAACAAAGGATTTACATAAGATTGGCAACGTTAGGCTTATTTCAAGGAATTATAGGCAATCCAGGTTTCAACTTTTCCCTAGGTGCAAGTAAAGTATGTGCCATACCAGGTAAGTCTTTCTCTTCACATGTTACTGGAATATTGGTGAATAAAGTAGGCTTAGTCAACCGCATCACTGTGAATTAAGAAAATAAAAAAAAGAATAAAATATTAATTATTCTTTGGACTAAGTGCAAAGTGTATGGTTTCATCAATTTTATACTACTATAAAATATAACGTAAATGATTCTTAAATATTAAAATACTTCCTAAGATTATTACACGGCAGTGATTTACTAAAAATGTTAATATATAACAAAAAGAATTCTATATATAAGGAAAAAGAACAACTTTGTTTTTATTTACAACCTAAAGAATTATACAGGTTAAATGGAAATGTAATATACCTCATTATAGAAAAACTGTAAAATAAAGGAATTTTAAAGCTTAAGGTATATTATGAGAATAAGGTTTGAAAAAAGATCCAGAGTGACTTCATTATAAATGATATCAACAAAATATTAACTAATATTGTCCTGACATGGAAACAAGTTTACATGCACCATTTTGAATATGAAACGAATTTTATGAGAAAAGGATCTTTATGAGCTTTATCCCTCAGTTATAATCACTGGCCACTGGAACTTCAGTAAGTGGTCTTTCAAGTAATATTAATTCTGTGTAGAAATTATGACAATATCAGTCAATGCACATGTTTATAAATTCCAACCAAAACTAAGATTCTTCTTGGAACATGTCAGAATGTGTCTAAAGTTTATCTAGAAAAACAAACAAATGAAAATAAGTTAAGGAAATTAATGGGAAAAAATGAGGAAGAACTGGACTTATACTAAAACAATTAAGTCCATAATCAACAAATCGGCTTATTAATATAAGACCATACAGACATATTAAAAAGAAGGATTATTAGAATGCAGCAAAAAAAAAAATCAACTTATAAGGTGCTAAGACAACTGGTTAGCTATCTGGGAAAAATAAAATTTAATTGACAAATTCATTTCAAATACCAAATAAACTGCATATGTATCAAATAGTTAAATAAGACAAAAATTAAGCCACAGAAAACTAGAAAAAGTGAAAATTTATTAAATCTAGTCTAGAGAGGATAGGACGTTCTAATCAAAAAAATTTTTTTTCAATTATTTCTAAGGATTGACATTTGACCACATCAAAATAAAGACAAAACACAAAATTAATAAATCATACAAACTTGTAAAATAGTTCAGAAAATGAATCACAGAAAACTATGTATTTACACTCTATTAAAAATGTTCATTCAAATCAAAGCCAAAACCTTCAAAGGCAATAGACCTAAATGGTCAGTTCACAACATAAGCAGTATTCATTAGAACATGTAAAAATGTACCAATTAACTACTAACTATCTAGCCCTATCATTCATATCAAATTTAGTGCCTTTCTCATGCTGGTCTGAGCTTAAATGTCATCTTTTTCAGAAAAGAAGTAACACGTCACCCTGTTTCATAACATCTTGTATTTATCATAAACTGTATTTATTTACATATTTGTTTATAGCACTCCTATCCAAATTCCATGAGGTTTGGGCTCTTACAAATTATGCTCAGTTTGTGGCCTAAGTGCTTGACACAAGTTTTGGCATATAGTCTGTTTTACAGATTTTTGCTGAATCAGAGAGTTAGCATCTCACCAAAGCCCTTAAGAAATGGGCATTATTTTGAAGATGTACGTTTCATGAGCTGAGGCCATTAAACAATGTTATACTAAATAGGTGGCTGTTGAAATAGTCCACAAATGATAACCTTAACTTTCTGAAGTCACTTGTATACATGGTATTTACTGAGCATTTACTAGTGCCAGACATTATGCTAAATTCTTTACAAGTATTAACACTTTAATTCTCCTGACGATTCTGCAAGGTTGGTGCTATTATTATCGCCCGTTTACAGATAAGGACGATGCCTGGAGGGGGTAATTGGCATATAAATGATTATACAGCAGATAGATGGCAGAACTAGATCTGAACCCAGCTGATTTCACTCTGTTCAAAAATAATTCTCTACATTATTAATTATAAGCCCAGCGTCAAAAATCTGGAATGTCGTGTGTTATCAGAAACATCCCCTGGGAATTCAAAGTAGGACTCTATCTCAAACAGGGCAGTAACTAGCTAAAGATCAATGTCTTTCATTTTCAACTAGGAAAACAGATAAAAATTAACTACAGTCTGAAGGGGATAGAAAGGTGCTCTGCAAATGATATAGAGACAGTTTTTCTCACAATCTAAATATTTAAGACACTAACCTCACTTTTAACACCAATTAGTGTTCTCTATTTCTTCCTCATTTTTTTCATTTCGGAAGAAACCAAACCTTAACAAATGAGGAAGTACACTCTCAAGGGAATCCCGAAACTCTTTTTAAAGTGTCCTCAAGTTCACCCAAATGTGTAGCCAACTTATTTGCTTATAATACACTCAAACTTCCATTATGTACAAAAGTCCTATAAAGCTTTGTTTCTGCTGATTCTGTTTTTAGTTCTGTGGATAAAGAACAACCCTCCATTAACAATAAATAGATCTCAAACTGGTATTAAAAATACTTGTTTCCTTCATATTTTCAAAAAATGGTAAAAATCAGCAGGGGGTAGCAGTTGGTAAGAAAAGCTATCACCTTGTAGACACGAGGAAAATGACTATATAGCACAGTTTGTCACATTGCAGATTCTTAAACTGACAAAGCCGAGTTAGTGACATACAACTGTCTCACTCCTTGAAGGACAAAGTATGCCCATATCAAATACAGATTTAAAACTCAGTATTTCCTGCTTTATAATGAATTACTGGACCTCAAAAATTAAACATAATGTTAGCTGGAAAACAGCAAATACCAACAAAAAGGTTAAAAAAAAAAACTGGCAGAGGAATTAGAATAAAGCACTGGTAATTAAACAGTAATTTTGTATCCAGCCTTGAATATTAAAGCAGGGTCTTGGTCAAAAATTAAAAGAGGCAAAAAGAATATGTGATTTTTCAGTCAGGTCAATTATTCACTACCCAGTTAGCGCTATGTGTAGAGACACTCTCAGTGGAACTTGCAAAACAGAGACATTTCATTTACTTATGAAATTCAGGTTTCATCTAAAATCTAATAAAAAGGACTTTTATAAGTCTTCCGTAAATTAAGAAAAAGATAGCCCTGAGGTTACAAACTAACGAATTGGGTCAAGATCATCTTGCATATACATTTTTCTTGTCTAGAAGATTAAAAAAAAAAATTACAGAGAATCTTCTTCAGGTTTAAGAATCCCTACCACATTCTACAATTTTACCTGAAAGCATTCAAGTTTGTGAGTCTTGGATTAATTTTGGGCATTTTGAGCAGATTAAGTCAAACTGAATCATTATGCACTTTTGGAAATTTTAAAAAATAGGTCTTTAGGTTATTTAATAAGTTGGTAAATGAAGTTCAACTCACGTGATGCCCTCCACATCTTTTTTCTTTGAAGTCGACAACATTTATTTGAAGGTAGATAGCTTGTCAGGAAAAATAAAATTATGGTACTGCTGCCACTTTCAGAGAGAACAAATGCTGTTGGTATTTTACCAAATGCCCTCAGATTCCACTTTTGCAGACACATCTTTGTTTCCCCAATTTCCATGTCTATTACTTAACAGTGGAACCCAGAAATACTGCTGAGCTCTACTACTAGCTAACACTAGAGCAATCAGTCCTAAGGTTCTAAATACTCTAAAAAGGCTTCAAAGAAGAAGCAGTGGATTCTGAATTCCTAGGCCTTGATTACTTCTTAAGTTCTGTCTAGGCAGATGATAAATGAAGCTCTCCTTTATTTTTTATTTTTAATCTTTTTTTTTTGAGGAAGATTAGCCCTGAGCTAACATCCACCACCAATCCTCCTCTTTCTGCTGAGGAATATTGGCCCTGAGCTAACGCCTGTGCCCATCTTCTTCTATTTTAGATGTGGGATGCCTGCCACCAGCATGGCCTGATAAGCAGTGCGTAGGTCCACACCCAGGATCTGAACCAGTGAACCCCAGGCCACAGAAGCAGAACCTGTGAACTTAACTGCTGCACCACTGCGCTGGCCTCGAAACTCTCCTTCTTTTAAGGTCACTGCATTACCTGCAATAAAACTCAATCTTCAATTTCCCAGTTCTGAATTATCTATTCATTGTTCCTCAAAGGGATAGAAAGCAATTTATTTAGAGCAAATCAGGAAAATTTAAATCTACCACATACAGATAAAAAGCAGCTCTTTTTAATGTGTGCTTTTTGGACTAAAAAACTACTTGTAAGAATCCTATGGCCCCTGACCGTACCTTATATTTTCAGTTCTATGTACAATTATTTCAAATGAATAAAAATGTATCATAAAAAAAACCCACTGTATTCTTTGTAAGTGACCCTGTCTTATGATTATCAAACTTCTAATGCTTGATTAGCAGCCTTATGGTAAATAAGACCTGAACAATAAAAATCAAATCCACCATTTATGATTGCCTAATAATATCAACCACTGCAAGCCTGTTGGCAATACTGAATAACTTCTTGAAGTTTCTCCAGCAGTCTTGATTGAAAAGTAAGAAGATTAATGAATAAAAGAGGAAATAATTATTGAAAAAGTTACCTTGGAAACTCCCTCTACACCCAGTGATTTTTCATTTAAAGACTTTTGGAAGCAGTCATGCACATGATGATTATTTTCTAGACAGGATTCTCACTGAGATAACAAAAGGGTACTAAAAGTAGTTAAAAACAAAACAATGTCTGGATAGAGTGAAACCTAATTGGAAAAGATTATCTGTTTAGTTAAAATTAGGAGACTCCCTGTATTTTAAGCAACCTCAGCCAGCCCAGGCTACCAAGAGTCCTTCCAAAGGGCACATTTACCATGTATTATCAAGCCCTATCACGCCAGGCAGTGCCACAGGGGAATCATGTCTCTGCTTTCCTAATGAGCACAGTCTTACTGGTTTTTTTCATGGACTTGGTTTGACTACTTAATAGTAGTAACGCCATGTAAGTTCCATAAGGGCAGAGCCTATGTTTGTTTCCTTCCCTACTATATTCTAGCACTTAGCTCATCATAGGCATTTAAATTTGCTAAATGAATACAT